ACCGGTACGTTCTTCTTCCCTCCAGCTGACCCCTTCCCCCTCCCAAACAACAAATAAAATAGGCAAACAACCGGACTAACCTGCGAGAAAACAACAGCCTCGCCATCCAATTCGCCCTCCAAACCACCGCCCTCCCCCTCACAACAACGGCCACCACCACAACCCTCCTCGACATCAAGCGCACGCAACCCCCGTCCCCCGCAAACCCGTACATCCTCCCCTTCGCCATGCGCGGCCTCCTCGAGGAGGAATACGTCCGCCGCGAGCTGACGACCGAAACCATGGAACTGCTCCACCAGTTCGACGAATGGAAACCCTCCAGTAAGGTCCTGAAGGATGTGAAGTTCCGGTTGGAGGGGATCCGGTCGAAATTGTAGCCCCTCATTAGCGTTTCGTCATGTTGCGTATGTTTGAAAATAAGCGGGCGGGTTTGTGAATATAGAACTTTTTTTTTGCGTTTAGCTTCGAAGAATTTTATTATATTAGCTTGACTTAGGGGTTCCTCTAGTATTCTGTTCTTGGCTCTTGCTTTGGGTTTTGGTTTGGTTATGAGTATGGGTTATGGGTTATGGTAGGTGAGTAGTATATCTACGAACACCAGAATATTGCAAGGATGGTTGTGCTTTACAACAGCACATTAGTAAAACCAGCAACAACGACCGTCCTGGAGTTTAGTTTATCATTGAATGTTTCCCCAAAGGAACCATGCACGGTAAAATAAATGGGTTGGTTGCTTGGATCAAAACCCAAATACTAACTAGGCCAGTCCACACATATATCCGGACTCGTTCTTAAGTAACGCCAGGGCATGCAGAATTTGTTTGCTTTGCTTTTGAGATTTCGGGGAAGAGGAAGAGAGAAAAGAAATTCTACAGGTGGTATGCAGAGGGAAGGATCTCATTAGGTTTGGAGTGAGAAGGGTGTATATATGAATGTACGAGTCGAGAGGAATTAGATGGGGTTGTGTGCTGAGGCTCTCTCTATTCATGCTTGAATAAACGCCGTATGGTATGCACCTTCGATTTCATCTAGCGAAGACAAATATTAGCGCGACGGAAAAGAACTCGGGGCCGGGTGTCTGCGTACCTCTCATGCCGTCCAGCGCCTCGAAAGCAATCGCGTAATTGGTCGCCGCGGCGATGATCCGCTCCAGTCCCTGGCGGATCTCCTCGATGAGTCGATCGGACGGGCTGGTGCTCAGGTTGCTGCTGCTGCCGCCGCCGCCGCCGTAGTCTGGCGGGGTCATTTGTTTCTCGACACGGGCCTTGTAGAAGATCATCAGCATGGCGTAGCTGCCCTGCATGAGACAGCATGCGAACGAGGGCATGGTGCGGGGAAGTTGACTCGGGAGCAGCTGCTGGAGGCCCTGGGGGGATTGTTGGCGATCGTCCGCGAGCAGCGGCTGCGGGATGGGGAGACAGTGGAACATCTGCGAGATTAGGAGGGAGGCCCGGAGACAGATTTTGGCCGAGTGTTGGCTGCTGTAGGGGAAGTCGTTGGTGAAGGAGTACTGAGGCGGTAAGGAGGAGAATTCGGACGAGGTCGAGGATGCGGAGGAAGGGGTATATTCGGATGAAGATTGCTGGAACATGTCGAGACTGCTGCAGGAGCAAACAGCCCGGGTGATGCCGTCTTGGGTAGCTGGGCTTTCGCCGGTCTCAACTGGTATAGAGTTGGTGGTGGTGGTGGCTGCGGTCAGATCGCAGTGTTTCTTGATGAAAATGGGTATATCGGAGAATGCTCTGAAGCGGTGGACCTTGATTTGTGCGCTACAAATGTTGCTCAGCACGGGGCGTGAAACCTGGATGTGCGGGGTTTGACTCTTACCTTGACAGCTTGATGCGCGAGATCGCGCGTATACTTTGAGCTGTTGTGGACTCCAGGTCTCCCTGGCAAGACATGGCCTGCGGAACTATGGGGAGTAGGTTTGACTGTGCTAGTGCGGAGCTGGCCCATGAATCGAGTTGCTGCATTCTTTCAAAGATGTACTGCATGTTCGTTCTAGTTGAGACGCATTTGTTGAGGTCGACGACGAATTGGGTTGCCGATACGAGCACTTGCTGAGCTTGAATCAAGACGGACCAGCCCTGCAAAATGGGTCAGAGATCGAAGTGCTACCAAGGAATTGGAACTCACATCGGGGTCGGCAGCGAAGCGTGGATACGGCGTGACGAATTGGGGATCGTTGGCGACGATGGAGAGCGGCTGAGAATCCGAGTGTTAGCCACTTCCTCGAAGGACATGCAGAACGCTTCAATGGACTTACCGTGGCGCTAACAATGGAACCTTGGAGGACGCAATAGTACTATTGAGAGTCAGACAAATGCCATAGAATCGGGGTTCAGACTTCTCACCGTCATCCACCAAGCTCTTCTTCGAGCCTCAGAAAACTCATCGTAATCGTCGCCGAGTGAATGCAGAGACATATCCAAAGCTATAGACAAGGCTTGACCGGCACGGTACCGCATTTTCAGCAGGTTTCCCCGTTGAGTGTATTCGTAGACTGAAAGAACCAGAAGTGCCAGAATGCTCTCGAGCTCCACGGGCGCTTGAGGATGGAAAGGAGCTCGGTCAATGAGAGGTCGGTCGGTGGACAGCGCCAGTGCAGGATCAGTGGTCGAGGCTTGCAGCTCGCAGTCGGTCTCGATACTCAGATTCGCCATCTGCGCAAACATCTGAGCATATGTTCGGCGGCGGACCACAGAGGCGGGACTCGACGATTCAATATCATTCGGATGCGGCACCAAGGCTAATATAGCTGAAATTGCACAGCTGAGAGAGGATTGAGGCCGGTAAGGTATCACGGGTTCCTCTGCGGGTGACTCTGTGAATGAACCAACGCCGTCCAAAGGTCGATCCGGAACGCGAGCGGCGAATCTCGGCGGAAGTATAGGAAAATAATTATGAACAAACTCGTAGTAAGCATTCAAGCTATTTTTAAAGTCAGAGGACGTGATAAGCTGGTTTCCAATGATGGTTACTCACATCTCTATTTCACTGCTATATGTTCTGACCAAAGACTGCGATGGGACATTTGATGGCGAGGGTGTTGGTTCCATCTGTACTGGGATACTGTTCTCGCCATTAGGGACGAACAGATCTGTGAACATTGAGTGCACATCAGAAGGAAAATCCAAGCTTCTGAGCCCCGCCCCCGGAATTGACAGTACGTCAATCTGGCCGAACATCTCCGGCGCTGAATTGTCGTTAGCTGTGACGAGGAACTGGCGATCTTGGGTCAGCTTGCTTACAGTCATCATTGAACCCAGAGGATGGCGGGGTGATCATGGCGCTCTGCTCATCATCGTGCTGAACAGCCTCGTCCGAAGGAATCGAGAGCTTCTTCTTTTTCCGTGGACCTCCTCGTTTACTGGGTAGGTAGGAGCACTTTCGCTTTTTGCTAAGACACTTTGCCACCCCGACCAAATCAGCATATAGTTCAGCAATACGCCGCAATTGTTTAGGAAGCCAAGATGAAAGAATGAAGTAAGAGAGCAAGGAACAGTGTGTCTCCTTGAGATGAACACTATGGACTGGAGCACTGCGACTTGGCGAGGGGAGGATACATACATTTGTACAGGGGTCTTGCCCATCGCATCGCGTTCTCGAAGCACGACTGAGAATAATCATCAGTCAGTCGCAATGAACGGCAAGACGAGATTCCAAGTCGCTTGCAACAAGAACCAAGCTCAGTGCTTGCACAAACGTTCCAGGTGGATGCGACGCCACTTACCACGCAAGACACGCTACTTTGACTGGGGGCTTTGCAAATTTCTTGCGGACAACCGCGGGCTTGGAAGTTCTAGGCTGTGTAACTGCCGTGACTCCATCATCTTGGTACGATGGCTGGGAATCGTCCAGGGCCATGTTGGACGTGAACTGGAGACACACAGCTGCAGCGGGTAGTAAATGGTAGGAAGATCATGCAACGGCCGCAAGGCGTGCTACCATCACCCACGATCTAAATAGAGCTTCTCCCGGAGCGCATAACTCGAGGACTACTGGGGAGAATGAGACGGGAAACACGCAGAAATAAACATCCAGGAGCTTTCCGGGGTAGCCAGCCGAATCGGGGAGGTTGGGTGGGTAAATCGACAGATCCTAAGAGTGGTCTGATATACAGCATTATCGGGCGAACTGGGCTGTAGTTTGATTTGGTTTGGAGAGTTGAGTGAGCAGCGGCGGGCTTACTCATCCTCAAGGTCCATAGATTCAAATCCCGAAGCGTGGGTGTTTCGGGATTTGCTTCCATTGACGGACGATCCCAGAGAGTGGCGCGCAGCAAGTGCGTGGATTAGTCAAATTGCACAAGGCGAAAAAAAGTATCGTTGTTTTCCCCCAATTTGTGCATTTCTAGCATAGTTCGGAGAATTGAAGCACGACCTGTAGTTCTTTCACTGATTTGGGTTGGAATTTGTGGATTGAAAGTCCCTTTTTTTCAAATGTTTTTCTTTCATTCGATCGATCGACGGTACGTTAGGTTGGCTTAAGCTCCTTCCTGTTCTGGCAAGCTGCATTGACTGGCAGTCTGGAATGACCAGTCTGATGTCACGTGAAGCCCTGTTGTCTCGCGCATTCAATCCGATCATTCTTGCGGGTCGGGTCGAAGCCTCGGAATGCGATGCGGTCTCTAGGCATTATTGAGGCGGAAGTTCGAAGTCTCACTTCTTGTCGCACAGCCATCTGCTAGAAAAGAGGCGATTACATGTTAACAGCCGGCCAATCTGCAATCCGATCGCAGCCAGTCTCCGCGAAAATCCCGAGGATTAACTTTTACCGGATTGGGGTGGTGGATCTAGACTCGGTCGATCGACATCAAGCAGAATATTATAACAAAAGTACTGCAGCACAAGGGCCTTATCAATCACAGAAGCTGCAAAGTCCCGTCGGCCGTCGCCACCATCCTAGAAGGTGTTGTACATGTAAAGTGTCCGGTAGGTCCAGGCGTTGACTATCGAGTACTAAAGTTAGCCGGTTAGGTTAGAACGCATTTTAGAACCAAAATTTATTGCACTATATAGCCAGGGCTGCAGCCAGATAATACTGGTCTAATGCAAGCTCCCCTATAGATCAGTTTCAGGACGGCGGCAGCGAATTTATCCTTATCCCTGATATCCGCTTGACGGAATACCAAACGCTGTCAGGGACCCGCACGGGGAGCTTGTGCCCCTTTAGCTGCTGGTCGATCAACCACATCCCCACCACAAACTCTTCGCGGGTCAAAAGTCCATTCTTTTGACTATCGACCAGGTTCCAGATCTGCTCTAGGACATGCGATGGAAGCTCGCTGCGAGACCAGATGTCGCGGACCACAAGGTTAACCACCATCTCGGACGCGTCGGGAGGCAATGAACCGGGTGGGACTTGCGATGGCAAAGGAACCAGCAATCCTTTGTTTGCCGCCCAGACCCCTTCGTACTTCTTCCGGTCTTTCTCACTGACCTCACTCCGCCAACGCTTTCGGTCACCTTCATGATGTTTGTGGGGGTGCTTGCGGATTATGTGTTTGTGCTGGCGATACCCCTGTTCTTCATCCGAACTGCTGGGATGTCGAAGCGTCTGCCGTAGCACAGTAGAAGGACTGGACGATTGCTGGTGATCATGTTTCTTTGAGTGGCCCAGATGCACGATTGAACGTGACCGCGGCCGACGCCGGGGTGGTGGAGGCGGGGCGGTTTTCTTCTCCTGTGAAGCTCGGGTGGATGCTAATGAGGATGCTACAATTGCATCTGACAGTACTCCTTCCGAGGTACTATCAAGTAGGCTCGGAGTACTGTTGGTGACGGATTTCGCATACATAGACGCCGAGCCTGGACTGGAGGGTCGCGGCCGACCATCACTACTGCTGAGAAGAGCTCGATGACCTGCCAGGTCTATTTTCGATGATGATGGTGTTTCTCTCGGTCGCGGGGGTAGTGATGGTGGGTTTTCGTCGGTCCTGATAGGATCTCCTGAAGAGAGTGATAGATGCGATCTGGGAAGGTCTTTCGATTTCTCTGATGCCAGATTGGCATTGATGCTAGTAGGATTCAGGCAAGGTTTTCGAGGCACCGGCGGTGGTCGAGACTTTGCCGCAGCCAGCTGCGCAAAATCCGACAGAGCAGAGCCCGGCCTGACGGGTTTTCGCTCGATTTTCTTGTCTCCGAGTTGAGAGTCCTGCTCGTCTTTTAAGATCTTCTCAAACGAGGCCTTACTCGCAGCTGTGGCCCACACGGGCTTCGGTGCTAGGAGCTGTGGTCTTTCGCGCTCTCCGCCAGGCCTCATTGGAAGGTCAACATTGGCGCTGCTGCTGCTTGGAGTAGGAGCTGGTTTCTTGCTAGGCGTGGATCTCCCCGCCGCAAGCTGGGCGGCGATCTGCTGCGGGGTACGTGGTCTTAAGCCCCCTATATCCCCGGGTACTTTGAGGGGAGCGTCCCTAGAGCCGCCAGGCTGCCCGTGTGCACTGAACTTGCCAATCTTGTCCTTGACTGAACCAATCTCGGGTGGCTCTGGAGATTGGTTGCTGCGAAGAGAGGCTAAGTCTGAGGCATAAGAGTTCATGCTGCACGATCCCCTTTGGGCGCCAAATTGGTGGTTGGCAAGAGGAGGTGGTCTGTTTGCAGACCTTGTCGCATTAAAGGCTGCTGTCGCTCCTTGGAGAGCTGTCACCGTGCTGCTCGCGCTGTTCGCTTGGTTGGGGGACACATGGGGAGACAGCCGGCGGTCCAGAGCGGATGTCGAACTCGCCATTCATGTCTAGGCAGGAATGCCCGTTCCAAGGTTTCGCGCGGGTGGGGGCAGTCAGGACCAGAAGTACTGCCGCTGCCCGTTCCTCTCGAGTTCGAGTTGGTTGGGTTAGGTTGGTAGGATCCTCTCTCACGACAACGTCATTCGAGCAACGCAGAGAGATGAATAGTACGGAGTAGATCGATTGATAGAGAGGTAGGGGGGTGATCGTAGGGCGCTAGACTCAGACTGGAAAGCTTCTTCCATCTCAGGGAAATTGGCTGTAGCGTTGCTGAGCTAATCCAGGACGGCGTCCGTGCGTTGCCCAGCCCAAAATAATGGGCTTCCCAGTCAGGGGGAGCAAGATCAATCAGAGACTTATAGTTATACTCAAATATATACAGTACTCATAAACAGCATGATTCTAGTGCGGTGAGCGAGGGTAAATAGATTTAAGCTTATTCAATAGCTATCTGTCCAGATCTGAGGGTTCTTGTCCAAATCACAGTACACAGTCACACCATCAATCTCCATACATCAAGAATTGACTGGCAAAACAGAAGGAGTGTTTTTTGCTCATTTCGTATATAGTCGTTCTAGGCAGGATTTACACATCGCTCAACTCTTGGTCGAACTTTGCAATGGCCATGTGCTATACACATGATGATATGGGTCGCAAGAAGGACACCTCTTAACCACTCTCGCTCGGCTATTTGCGAATACCCTTCGAGACCACTGATTGAGGAATATTGGAGCCTTCCATACCACATACTTTTCTGCACAGTACGTTCCATTGACAGCAGAGTAACTGACAGCACAAGGGGAAGAGCATCCCACTCAATGCAATACTCGATTTGACCACATACTTCACGCAAGTTACACTGTGGTACTCCAGTATCTGGGGCACATGCGGATATTTAACCGACGACTGGCGGAAAAATCGACCGAACCGAGGCCCCAAAGACGCAAGACTAATCTGACTGCGCCAATGCGAGCATGCAGGCTGGGGCTACTCGTGGGCCCCGGAGACCCCAAAAAGCGCCGCTAAACGGTTAGGCTCGATTTAGTACCGTTCATTTCCCCGCTTCCTCGAAAAGCTGCAAAAGAATGAGACGACGTGACTTGGTCCGGGGCAGTGGCAGTCCCTGAACTTCCCTGCTGCGCTCCTATTGTTCGATCATCACTCTCCCCCGTCAGCTCCTTGCTTTTTTCTTCTTTTTTGTCTCGTCGTATCTCGAAGGGTTCCATTTCCTCCGATCAGATGCGACCAGGGTGTTAGTTACCACATGGCACAATGGGTTTAGTTTGCTGTTTGTCTGGTGATGAATCCTCGCTACTCAACTCCGTAATCTGTCTATATCGCCAATTTATCTGTTGCCATGCATGACTTGCTCGGATCGTGGTTGAAGCAAATCTCGTCTATGCGACGCCATGTCCTCGGTGAAGAGCGACGCTGGGCCAGGTGCGATGGATTCTCGTTTCGAACTTGATATGATTGAGTCCACTAATTGAGCTATGGCTCTGCAGAAGCTCCGATCCACCATGAATCTGAGGAGGCAGCAGCGAAGGATGAAGGTGACTCCTACGATCAAGAAATGCAACAGGGCTCCACAGCTAGCCCGACGAAGTGCTCGATATGCCAGAGTACCTTTCGACGACCGGAGCATTTGAAGCGCCATTTTCGCAGCCATACAAAAGAGAAGCCGTTCGAATGCGCGCAGTGTGGCCGTCATTTCTCGAGAACGTAGGTCTCTTGCCTTCTTATCGTGCATTCTTGGATGCTCTCTTGTTCTCATTCGTCTCCTTCGTCTTCAGCGGGGACTAACGCGGGCCCTGGTTAGAGATACACTGCACCGTCATGAGCTCAGCCACCACAACGCTGGAATAGAAGGTGGGAAGGATCGCACCCATCGCATCACGGTAAAGACATTCCGGGCGTGCTTCAAATGCGCACTTGCACGAGTGCGATGCAGTGGCGGGACGCCATGTGCGCGCTGCGAGAACCGGTCTCTCGAATGTCTGTACCCAACTGAGAGACGTTCGAAAGCTAAAGCCCGAAAAGAGGCAGCGCAGTCAGGCTTGGCCCCAGACGAAGACTTTAACGGGCAGTCTTCTTTTGCCATAACATCCACATCTGCTGAAGGTTCTGCTGCACGATCCCCGCACAGTGGGGACACGTCTCTTGCAAAGCCTCTTCATTACCGAATGACACAGTTCCAGCTTCAATTGCCAGGACCCGGCCTCCTCAACAGGAATGACAAATCGCCGTCTGTAGATCCGGTTGTTTCACATCAAAGCGAGGCTCCAGAGAAATTGTTGAACGACTCTCCGAACAATGGGCCAGAGGGCAATGCGATGAAGCAGTCAACTCGGCCCAACTTGCTCTCTTCCCGGGGGGAATTTGATATGACCCAAGTTACGCCCCATGGACCTAGTGGCGACAGTTCTGAGCAAGCAAGATCACGCAGGTCTTTATCTGCCATCCAGGGCATACACTTGTTAAATCAGACAACCGAGCCCGTGAGCTCAGCGAGCGTCCCACATCCAGTTTCAGCCAGCCATGGCAGTGACACGAGAATACCAACAATAGGACAGCAAGGAGCGCTCGGCTCATTAGGACCATTCTTGGACACGATGAACTCAGCTGTTCCTGCGATGAACTGGCTTCCCGGGGAGGGGCCCTACGATACATTCATCGAGCGCACTCCTACAGCGGAAGCCCGTGATGGGTTCATGAACTATGCAACATGGTATCCCCCGGCGGTCCATCCAACTAACGGAAGTCAAGACAACATTTTCAAATCTCCGTTAGGACACACCTCACTAGTCAGCGACAAGAACAGCCCTAACAACTCGGGTCGTTCAACGTTCTCCAGCGCTACGAAACGACCGGCAGACCTATCAGAGGACACAGCTCAACTTCGACTGTCAAAATCCAGACGACACCAAGATGTCTGGTCAGACTTCTCCGCAATGTCCCCTGATGGCTTCAGTTCTCGAGGTAGAGAAAATTTGCCCCGTCGATTTATGTTCCCTATGATTGAAGACACCGCCATGCACGATATTCAAATTGGTCCAAGTCTTCTGATTGGGATATCGACCTACGAAAAGATTCACAAAGCTTTCGTTCAGCTGTGTTGCGCCGAAAGTGTCGTTTTCTCGCGATTCGAGTCCGAGTATTTGCCAAGTGCAACTGTACTTTCCGAATTTGTCCACCTCTACTTTCACCATTTCCAACCCGTCTATCCTATGTTTCACCTTCCTACATTTAGTACAAACACATGTCACTGGATAGTGACATTGGCGTTGGCGGCAATAGGTAGCCACTATGCTAGGCTCCACGAATCAGACGAATGTGTTTCTGCGCTCCACGAGCTTCTTCGTCGAGCTATCATGGTCGAGGTGAGCATTTCGTGCTCTTATGGTCTACCTGCAACTAACCAGAGACGTGCAGAAGGAAAAGTCCTGTCAAGACCAGGCACCACTCTGGCTTGTTCAAGCAAAGCTTCTCAATTGCATTGGATTGCTCTATAACAGTGATGAATGGGCTAGAGTCTCTGCCCTCGACCGATTCGGTGATTTGACTAGTTTATTGAATCGGACCAAGCTATTGAAGTCTCCCCGACAATTTAAATTAATATCGCATGACAAGCCATCAGAGCAGAACTGGCTGGGCTGGATTGAGGACGAGGTCAGACGACGGACGGCCTACTTAGTATGGGTATAATGCCCAAACAGTACCGACTTGCCTGGACTCTGCTAACAGTTTCCATAGCTTGTGGACTGTACTATAGCCTATCACTTCGATCGACAGCCCTCCTTCTCGCTTGAGGACGCGCAAGCAGCGCTTCCCGCTCATGAGAGACTCTGGCAAGCAGAGTCAGCCCATGCTTGGCAGGGGACCTTTGAACAGAATTCAGGTATAGCAGCTATTTGTACAGTACAATCGCGGTCTCTAACACGACTTAGGCCAACCCGAGCTCTCTCTATACGATGCGGTATTGATTATGTACATTGAAAAGCGACTCGTGCCCGATCTGGGGGAGTTGGGTCATATCCTGCTGATCCATGCTCTCTACCAACGCATGTGGGAAGTCGGCGACTACTTTCGCCGACCATTGTCTTTCTGGAACCCGACCGCTAAGAAACAGTCTCGGCAAACGGCGATCCCTTCGGGCTCTGTCTGGCTTCCCGGGATCCCCTCGTATTCGAAGTGGCGTAACAGTGCATGCGACTCTCTGGACATACTCCACTGGGCCGCCAACAGCACGGTCGCTACAGCGGCTGACCTCCGCAACCCAACAATACAGCACCTTCACTCGGCTCGGATCGTTCTACTTGCACCCTTCCGTGAGATTCGATCGCTAGCCCACTCGCTCGTGACGGAAAAGGTTCGCTGGAGCGAACGTCACCAGAACCTGGAATGGCACTACATACTCCGATGGGTCAAACATGATCAATACAAGGCCCGGCTCACGATCATCCATGCCGGCGCAACCCTGCTTCATGCGCGGGGGAACACCAGCCATGCGTTCCACGAGCCGGTCGCTGTGTTCCTGGCGACACTGGTGCTGTGGGCTTATGGCTCATGCTGTGCTCAACTCGCCGACCGGGCGCGACCTGCTACCGGGAAGGATACCGTTATACACCTCGATCAGCCTTGCGATGACGAGCTGGTCCAAATCTTTGTGAGGGAAGGACAAGCTATCCAGGGAGTGCTGACGGGGGTGGGTGATATCTGCGCGCCGCAGGGCCCTGCTGGGGTTCTGCGCGCCGGTAGCGAGACATTTGTCGATCTGATGTCATGGGGCATATCCAGGAAACTCAAGTCTATTCTTTCCAAACTGGCCGATTTGGTCTCGCAAGTTTGAGCTGTACTGCGGTACGTTGGTGTCCTTGGCCACCAAAGCTGCATTTATATACATACACATACAACCGCAAACAAACACATACATTTCACTTTGCATTTTGATGGACGAATAGAATCGATGATGTAAGGAATGAGTCACAGATGAGGAAAAACAATATTCACAATGTACACAATCTATGACCATCTAGCACAGTAAGCTATAAGTTATTCACAGTCCGCAGTTTAGGCAGTGATGTCACGTCACATGCAGTGGGCTTATCTTATCGGAGCTGCCGCCTAAAAATGCAGGCCGGGGTATTGATCAACTACAGCCCACGCCCTTCACCGTTGTTTCTTTCTTGATTTCCGAACATGCTTCTTTCTGATCAGACATCCCTCGCCCTCAGCACAGTGCAGCCGTCTGCAACACCTGCAAGATGGATTCCGATGAAAACATGGAGGTAGAGGGCAGCAGCACGCTTAATCCGCCGGTGGGGTCGGAGCATGCGCATGAAGACATGGATCTAGATGAGAAGTGAGTTCTAGGGATCGAAGCCATCATAACATCTACACCTCCCCTCCAGCAGCTTACTCTGTCTGTTTCTCACCGTCTGCTGCTTATCCTGCTCTCTCACCTCAAATTTACCCCCCACCTCCCAGGCTTCAAACACTAACCACGAGACTCAAAACCACAACAGCTACCCCAACCGCCCGCACAACCACTCCCCGACCCCCGCCTTCCACACCCTCTTCGAAAACCTCTTCAACCCCCTCAGCGCCATCAAAAGACAACCCACCTCCTCCTCCACCACCACCGCGCAACGGCCCCCATCCGCCCGCCGCAAACTCGGGCCACACGGCCAAACCGCCTCCGCCAGCCTGAACCCCGCCGAGCGGCGCCGCGACGTGATCGAGCGCTTCATCTCCCACTGGCGCCAGACCGTGGGCGACGACATCTACCCAGCCTTCCGACTGATCCTGCCGGACAAAGACCGCGACCGGGCGATGTACGGCCTAAAGGAGAAAGCGATCGGCAAGATGCTCGTCAAGATTTTGAAGATTGACAAGAACTCCGAGGACGCGGTGGGCCTGCTGAACTGGAAGCTGCCGGGGTACGAGGCGCGCGGGTTTCTGGCGGGCGACTTCGCGCGGCGGTGCTACGACGTCGTCTCCAAGCGGCCGATGCGCACGGAGGTCGGCAGCATGTCAATTGCGGAGGTGAATGGGCGGCTGGATCGGTTGTCGGCCGCCGGGCGCGAGGGCGAGCAGATGGCGATCTTGGGGGAGTTTTATCGGCGGATGAATCCCGAGGAGTTGATGTGGTTGATTCGCATTATTCTGCGGCAGATGAAGGTGGGCGCGTCGGAGCGGACGTTGTTTGATGTCTGGCATCCTGATGCGGAGGGGCTGTATTCGATCTCGAGTAGTTTGAGGAGAGTGTGTTGGGAGTTGCATGATCCCAATGTGCGGTTGGAGGATGAGCACAGGGGCATTGCGCTGATGCAGTGCTTCCAGCCGCAGTTGGCCCAGTTTCAGGTGCAGAGTTTGGAGAAGATGGTTGCGAAGATGCGCGGGGTTGCGGTGGGGGATAAGGATGAGGGGAATGAGGAGAAGGGCGAGTTTTGGATCGAGGAGAAGTTGGATGGCGAGCGCATGCAGTTGCATATGGGCCCGGATGAGGAGGTGGATGGCGGCAGGCGGTTCCGGTTCTGGTCACGCAAGGCTAAGGATTATACCTATCTGTATGGGAATGGGCTGTTCGACGAGAATGGCGCGCTGACGAGGCACCTGGCCGGTGCGTTTGCCGACGGGGTCGAGAGCGTGATTCTGGACGGCGAGATGATCGCCTGGAACCCCGAGCAGGATGCCCCGGAGCCCTTTGGGACCCTCAAGTCGGCGGCCCTCGCCGAGCAGCGGAACCCCTTCGCCAATGGCTCGCGGCCGCTGTTCCGGATCTTTGATATTCTGTATCTGAATGGCCATGACCTGACGCGGTACACGCTGCGGGACCGCCGGAATGCGCTGCAGAAGAGCGTCAAAGACGTCCATCGCCGGTTCGAGGTCCACCCGTACGAAGAGGCCACCAGCACCGCCGAGGTCGAGGCCTCGCTGCGTCGGGTCGTCGCCGAAGCCTCGGAGGGCTTGGTGTTGAAGAACCCGCGCTCCCCGTACCGGTTGAACGAGCGCCATGACGACTGGATGAAGGTGAAGCCGGAGTACATGACCGAGTTCGGGGAGTCGCTGGACCTCGTTGTCATCGGGGGCTACTACGGCAGCGGTCATCGCGGCGGCGCCCTCTCCAGCTTCCTGTGCGGACTGCGGGTGGACGACTCGGCGACGTCGTCACAGCACCACGCCGCCGCTGAGCCGTCCAAATGCTACTCGTTCTGCAAGGTCGGCGGCGGATTCACGGCGGCGGACTACGCGAACATCCGCCACCATACGGACGGCAAGTGGAAGGAGTGGAACCCGAAGAAGCCGCCCCTGGCGTACATGGAGCTGGCGGGCGCGGGCAACGCGCAGCACGAGCGGCCGGATATGTGGATCAAGCCCGAAGACTCGGTGGTGCTCTGCGTCAAGGCCGCCTCGGTCTCGGTCAGCGATCAGTTCCGCATGGGCCTGACGCTGCGCTTCCCGCGGTTCAAGCGGCTGCGCGGCGACAAGGACTGGACGAGCGCGCTGTCGGTGCAGGAGTTCCTGGACCTCAAGTCCAACGTGGAGCAGGAGCAGAAGGAGAAGGCGTTCAACGTGGAGAACTTCCGCAAGAAGCGCCAGAAGAAGTCCACCAAGAAACCCTTGGCGATTGCTGGGTATGATGAGAGGGCGGAGGTCAAGTCGGCCGGTCCGTCGGGGCATATCTTTGACGGGCTGAACTTTTGTATGTTGTTGTCCCGGACGAGTCGAGTTCTGAATTGGTTACAGTGCTGATGCTGGTGTTTAGTTGTCATGACCGACTCCACTGCCCCAGTCAAGAAGACCAAGGCGGAACTGGAGCAGCTGGTGAAGAGCCATGGCGGCAAGTTCTATCAGACGAATACGGCGGCTCCGGATACGATCTGCGTGGCTGATAGAAGTAAGCTTTTCTTCTTGGAGGGGATATCGGATCGACTGACCGAAGCAGGAACGGTCAAGGCGGCTTCGTTGCAGAAAACGGGCGAGGTGGACATCATTCGCCCGTCCTGGATCCTGGACTGTATTCGACAGAGTGAGATCGACGCAGGTCTTGCGGACCTACTTCTTCCTACGGAGCCAAGGTACGTGGTTTTTCTGTGGCTGGAAGCTCGGTGGCTGATTTAGCAGGCATATGTTCTATACAACACCGGAGAAGGAGGCGGAGGTGGCTGCGAGCGTCGACCGCTTCAACGACAGCTACGCACGGAACACCACGCTGGAGGAGCTGAGCGAGGTAGCTACCCAATGCGTCCTTGTTTCGTCTTTGGCTGACCATGTCCGTAGATATTGAAGAAGATGGAGACGGATGTCCCTCCCGGCAACTCCAAAGCCCTCGACAAACTCAAGGGACATCTCTACGACCAGATCAACGCTGGATGGCCACTCCCCTGCGGCTGGCTCTTCGACGGTCTAGTCTTGTACTTCCCCGAGCTGGCACACCCAACCACCACGGAGGATAGCCGTGACGATGACCTCGGAGACATGGGCAACCTCCAATCCCACCACCACTACCACCCACTCCAGCTGACCAGAAACACGGCGCGGTTCGCCGGGGCTCGAGTGGTCGACACCGCCCAGGACCCGGCCATCACCCATGTCATCCTCCAGCCGACGGGTCTGCCGGCGGCTGAGTACAGGTCCTTACGAGGGCAGTGGGCTGCGGCGGATAGGATCCCGCATTTCGTGACTACGGGGTGGGTGGAGGAGAGCTGGAGGCAGCAGACGCTTCTGGATGAGGAGAGTGAGTTCCCCTGTCCGGCGGTCTTTCCGTTTCTGATTTCAAAGCAAAGCAAAGAAAGGCATGGGCTGATTGCTGGCAGAATTCCAACCCTCGAAGCAGGGCACAGCAAAGGGAAAGGGAAAAGGAAGTCTGGCGTAACGTCGGGTAGACGCGCATTGCGCAGGATGATGTCTCACCTTCTTGAAGTTTCACGGCGTAGCTGGTTGGTTTGGGGCCGAGCTGATATATCCATCATGCAGTATTGGTTGGTTTCTTAGGGGGGGCAGGGGAGGGCTAAATTATTATCTGGTGGTTACGAGGCGTATGTGCTCAGGGATGGATGTATCTGGTGGAACCGTAACCGGAACCGTAACCGTAACCGTCCCTGTGCCAGGGCAGGGCGCTTATCTTTTGTGTCTCGCTCGCGGTGCTCTGAGTCACCGTCCTTTTATCTTGGTGTGTATATGGGTGGTAATGTTTATATATTTACTTGGTGGGTTGGGGGTGGGGGGGGGGTTGCCTTGCAGCTGTATAGGTGTATACAACAGGAAGTCTAGAGCACCAATGATCGCCCGGGGGAATCCCAGACAAGGCTTCGAGCTTATCTCTGACCAGTCCGGTGTTGGGTTGGGGGCATGTTTCACAGATCCCGGATGACAGCTGGGCTGGGTTAATGGGATGGATTGATTGATTGATTGATTGATTGATTGATTGATTGATTTATCCTTGGGAAACTTTTTATCAGGTCCTACCTAACTGCTCCACTGCAGTAAGCCATGCGGTGAGTGGGAGCTGTGATCGACGCTGAACGACCACAGCGATACCACACACACTACACTGGTCCACTGGAGTTCTACCCTCTTCTTCCCAATCCAACCGCTGACGGATATGAATCATGATCCATCCATCCGAAAGAGGCAACCAAACTGCCCCCAGCCAGGGCTCGGAACACCTTGAACCCCATGCATCTCTCCGATTGGCCAGAGATAAGCACCTTGCGATCACAAGAGCAAGAAAGAACAAGATCATGAACATCGCGAGTGCACTTCACTTAACCTTACCTTCCTACACTTGACCAGACGACAAAGATAATGCAGGGAAAGATATCCGGAGCTTGGGACAGCAGTTTTGAAAATTACGCGGTTCTTACGGGGTGTTTGTCACCCCACCTAGTTAAGTGAAGTTAACTTGAGTTTCCTTACCACCGATAGTAGCTGTAGCTGTGGCTGTCGCTGTCGCTGTGGCTGTCGCTGGACGGCGAAAGCAGGAAAGATGAGGAAGGCGAATGATGATATCGTCATCTTGATGATTGAAGTTTATCGGCTTTGGCTTTTTTGGTTTGTTTGGGGTGAGCTGGAGCTGGAGCTGGAGCTGGAGCTGGGAAGGCGGTTTTTGCCACCCCCGGAATTAAAATGAGGTGTCGTCATTCATCTTGCTTGCCTGAGATGGGTTGAGATGGCTTGGGGGCATGTTATGTCATTTCTGACCTCAGGGCCACTTCTGGTGTCAATCGTGTCCGTTGATGGCCGTTCCAGATCTGGGTGGTTTGTTTCTGAGTGCTGTCCTCTGGTCATAACGGGAATATATGTCTATCGTGGAGGGGTTAATTCAAGGTAGTGGGTAAGAGCACTGGATAAGTAGATATGTCTGTACCGGACTGTACTGTAGTCGATCTGATTGGGACCACGGGCGATAGCATGGCCCTATTGCAGCTGTATATCACTATCACATAACATATCACAACGCATTCTTCATCCAAGACCTCCTCCCCGCCCGTATTGATGTCCAGTCTCAGTAATCAGCCTGCAAGATCCGAGATTGATATCTCACCTACTTTAAAAAGGCATATATCCGTCACCTTCCCTTATCACGGCCCTCCTTATCACTGGCCGTCAACCCGGCCGGCGTAAGGTTACCCCCGGCCGGCCTGCCTGCCTGCCCCCAACCAACCAGTGATTGAAGAGTAGTGGCACTGCAGCCTACGGGGTTGAACCCCCCTCGGATCTACCATCCCCCATCCTCCTGCATTGAATCATTTAATCTATTTCCGCTGGAAACAAGGTTTGGTTAGGCTAGGTTGCTCTCCGACGGGGTTTGGGCTGGGCGGAAATGGCTGCAGCTAGATTACGGAGTAGTACTATGTAAGTGACTTAGTGCTAGTGTTAGTGCTAGGCTAGTGTGGCTGTTAGTGTGGTTTGCATGGGTTGGGGGGTTTTATCCGCGGTTTAGACTGATGGGCTGGGTGGTTGCTGATGCAGCTAGATATGGACTGGGGTTAGGGTGTACTCTATACTTCTGTGAAAAGGGAAGTGGGTATCAATGTGATGTAAGTCTGTCTTTGTTTGTCTCTGTCTGTCTGACTGGCTGGCTGTCTGTCTGTAAATGTAGGGTGTGTAAGTGTAGGTGTAAGCTAGGTATAGGTATAGGTATAGAACTGATGTAGGAATGCTCCGTGCCCCAATCTGCCCCGAAAAATGAAAACGCCAGTGTATGCCCGATCCAACTCCCCACCCCAAAAAAGCAAAAGAGAGAAAAAAAAAAAAAAAAAGGAACCGCTATGTTCAACTTCCCCCCAAAAAATTACAAGCTTTCAACAGAAACCCCCACCCATCGCGAGGGCACCGCATTCTCATCCTCCTCCTCGTAGCATTCGTAGCGCAGCACCCGGGCTTGATGAACGCCCTTCCGCGCTGGCAGCCAGATGCGGGCGCGCGTCGGCACATCGTCCCGCAGTTTGCCGCTGCGCCGCATGTTCATCTCCAGCACCACCATCCGCAGGAAGTCGCTGTTCTCCCGCGGTTCGCGGGGCCGGGTCATCGGCGGGAATTCCGGGTCGGACATGGGGAGGGGCTGCCTTTGATGATGCGGATGCTTGGCGCGGTGGCCGCCGCCGCGTCTACCCGCGCGCCGGTAGGTCTGCATCTGCACGGAGACCACCGGGCTCGCGCTCGCGTCCAGGGTCTCGTCGTGCGGGTGGTAGTCCTGATAGGCGTACATCTCGGCCGGGGAGAGGGTGATCGGGTTCAAGTACCGGCGGAGCGCGGGCGAGGGCGGCTCGTGCATCGGCGGAGGCCGTCGGTCGTCCGTCATCTCTGGCGTGATCGTGAACATCGACCGCGTCAGGAAGTCGTCCGGCTGCACCGAAGGCGTCGCGAAGGTGGAGACCGTCTGCGCCGCCGATTTGATCGCCCGCAGCGAGGCGGTCAGATTGGATTTGAAGGTGGCCCCGAGCCGGGGGAAGGATCGCGACGGCGTCGGGCTGGTCGCCGCCGCCGCCGCCGGCGGCACCGTGGCGGCCGCCAGGAACGCCTCCATGTCGAGCTCGTCCTCGGAGCTGCACTCCTCCGTCTCGAGGAGCGGGTGGTCCAACGCGCAGTTTTCGCAGGCCGGGGAGCGCAGGAATCTACGGTCTAGGGGGCTTCGTTGGCTGGACGGGGTCGGGGGCGTAGGCAGACTGGGCGGCGAGTCCAGGTCCCGTTCAAGCGACGGCGTGGATGCGATGGAGATGGAGGACGCTGAGAACGACGGCGCCTCGCTGTCGCAGTCGCTGCCAACCGTAGATCGCTCCGTGTCATCTGGGGGACTCAGCAGGAGATCCAGTGCTGTGTTGCCCGTGCTGTCCATCAGGTTGTCGCCCACCCCGTCCAACAACAGCTTGCTGAAATCCTGCACATGGTTCCCGCGCGGTAACCGGCGGGCATCCCGTCCGCTCACACCCCGTCGACGCACGGGGATCGCAGTCGCTTCCAGGATCGATGCGATGGAGTTGGGGACCGGTCGATCGGACAGCGTCCCCGAGGAGGACTGCGGGGTGAGGGTTCTCGGTTTCCGTGGGGTCCTGGGCCCTTTGTTCGCCGCTTGCGTGTGTACGGAGGTCATGCGAGGACCCCGTTTCGGAGGGATGACGACGGGGCTGGAGGGGATCGTCGATGAAGATATGTCGGCGTCGGAGGGCAGTTCAAGGCCCTCAATACCCTGAAGGCCTAGCACTCCCGGAGGAGTCTTCTCGCTTCGAGCTCCCTTCAACGGCGAAGACACCGAGCTAAATAGAAATGCCCTGGGGACCATCATCTTTACAGTTTCGTGGGGATCGGTTTCGTTTCACAAGACAAGGATAGTAGTTTGACAAGACGGCCTAGGCCAGACGAGGCACTCTGATCGAGCGTCTGAGCGAGATACATGGATAAATAGAAAGAGGGCCTGAAGGAAGAAAGAGAAAAGCGTCTGATAGACACCTCTCCCAGCGGAAGAGTGGACTCCGCTGAAGAATATATAAGGGTATCCGCTAGCGATAAGAGGACCACTTTTGCTGTGCTGTGCTGTGTTGGCAGTGGGCACTGGGGCAGTCACCGATACGTCCAAGAGCCCCAGTTCGAGCGGGAGCCAAAAGCGGAAGAACGGCCGGGTGCGTCTGCAGGCACGCGACTGGCAGGTGTACTAATAGGGCAAAGAGGCGGGTGTGAAGAATGATGAGGGGGAGAGTAGAAGAGGAAGAAGTAGAAGAAAGAGGAAGAGAGTGTAAGGTATGTAGTCTTAAGTGAGAGGCAGAAAGGTGGGAAGACCGGGGGGTGTGGATGGGAGAAGAGAAGAGAAGGGAGCGATGAAGAAAGAAGGCGAAAAGACATACTCCGTAGTAATGATCTCAATGACAGAGAGGGAGAGGCAGAGCCCGAGAGTCGTTAGTCTACAACGATAAGAAACGGGAGATGGTAATTCTCAGCCTTAGTCCCGTAACATCGGGTCCCAGCGGAGTTGCACTAACTCCCAATCCGGCAGTGAGAAAAAAAGGCATCCGTAATTCAAATCGCATAATAAGAAATCCGCTTGCAGAAACGGCGACTCTTGGCAGTCGGCAGTGTTCTTTTCTTCTCTTTCTTTCCCAACCAACACTACCAACGTATGGAGTTACTCGCACTAACAGTGAGGCGCTCACCGCTTTGTCCCGAAAGAGGCTGGTCCGTTTCAGGCGGTAAGGGCGGATGCCGACTGCCGGGACCATACCATACCACTCAAAAGTACTAGTCCTGTATGGCCCTCGTTTCATTGTATGTTCTGGAACCCATCACGTAAGTCTTTTGGGCTGGATCGCGGCCGAAGAATGCCCCCGTCCCCACCCGAAGAATGTTCCATCTTACCGCGGCTTACGTACTTTTTGGACCACACAGTAAGTTTCAATTGTCAATTTACCGACCAGAGAGAGAGGGTGACTGACTGACTGTCTAGACAGATAGAGTGTGTGCCCAACCACTACACTACACCACACACTACAGTTAACTCTCCACTACAACTACACTATCTGATGAACATCACCTCACTGAACAGATACCTCAAGCCTCAAAACTACCGCTGCACTCTGAGCGCATCCTGCATCCGTCTCTAAGCGCGGGTTGAATGACTCGTCCCGAAGAGGTCATCGTGCTGACCCCTGACTGCTCGTAAAGCAAGTCATGCTGACGACAACTATCATTTCGATATATGCACTGGTCTGGTGCCTGCAGCTGTCCGACCAGAATTAATCATCCTGGGTCGGAGCGATGATCAGCGGTCCTGCCCGAGGCTTACACCAACTCAAGTCAAGATCGTGGAAGTCGTCGCTTAGAGACACGGCATGCTCCGTCCAGCTAAGTACGACTAATAGTCATCGAGTAATGGCAACCGTCAAGAATGCCCGCAACCCTAGTTTCAAACCACTCCCTCCCGCCGATGAACAACAGAATCACGTAAACCGGAGAAGGAGCGGTAAAGCAAAGGGGGAAATTCCCTGTGGGACTACCGTAGGTATTAATATTGTATCCATCCCTCACGGATTATTGCGCCGTCTGGTCCAATCGCATCCTCACAGTGACTCGATTCTAAGCAACGACTCAATATAGGCAGAGAGCGGATGCACCTGCCCTAACGAGAAGTATGGATCGATAGATCGTCCCGGCCAAATATTGAGACATGAGAGGGTTGGATAGTAGTACTATGTAGTATGCACTGTACCTATATACCATAGTAGTAGTAATAGGAGCATAATGAAATCCATATACAGTACTCCGTATATACAGTTCCTCGTCTTCATCTGGTTCCCTTCCGCTCAGTGTCTACGGGAACAATGGCCAGAAAACAATACCACCACGAGACAGATTCCATCCTCGATTCCATCCTCGATTCCATCCTCGATTCCATCCTTGCTTTCTCCAGGTTGACCATGGTTGAGATGCCTCCTGACGAGTCATTGCAATGGATCGAACCCAGGAAAGTTGACTGACTGGCAGTATCAGTCTTATCAGCCGGAGACTAAATCAACGTCACAGTTGGTTCATTCATTCATTCATTGATTTCTCTAAGGGATTGTTTATTGATGGAGTGGCCGAGAGAGAGAGAGAGAATGCATTAGTAAGCTTTCACCCTCCGCCTGCGGTTCCCCTCCTTCCCTTTTCTCATTCAGTCCCTCTGGCTTATCGCCGCCCTGCTTTGCCAATTGATCTATCATTAGCCTGGGGATATCATCTGAATCACACCCCCGACATCATCATCATCATCAACATCATCATTCCCCCCAGTCCTATCGTCATCCTGGTCCTTGCATCGTCCAATCACCCTCTCTCGTTTTAACCTTCTTATCGTCTTCCTGTTATTCTCCCCTCCCCAGCTTCTGCTTCCCCATCACCCCAGGTTATCGAACTGAGGAGCTCCTTTCCTTTTGCGACTCTCACTACGGTCACTCGCCTCCACTTGCGGGTCATCGCAATCTGTCCATCTGATGCAAATCGCCGCGTGGCGCCTCTGGCTCTAATCGGAACCTTCTCACTAACTCGTAAGTGAATTGCTTGGCATGTGATCTCCCCAATGTCTTTAGCTCACTGGCAACACCCTTGTGCCTCCCAATACTGCACACCAAGCCCCTGCCTCTGCACCAATGGCATCCCTCTGGTTTCATGCACACATCCCAACTAATGTCTTTTCCTCCCCCGCAGATTCGTCCGTTCACCGCGGCGCTTATGCCGGTTGATGCGCTCGACCTAGCATCCCCATTCAACCTGTGTCAAGACCTCCATGAAGGCCTGTCGCTCCAGCAGATCGCCAAGCTCCTCCCACCCTTGAGAAGCATGCCCCGCCCCATCTCGACGTTTTCTCCGAACACTTCTGGGTGGACCTGACAGCCATGGTAGACAGCTCCGCGGAGATGCCGCAAGACATGAGCCCGGCCCCTTCAACCCAAAGGAAAGGTGGTCAAGGACCCGCGGGGGACAATGCTTCGGCCTCGAAAAGGCGCTGTGTCAGCACCGCCTGTATTGCCTGCCGCAGGAGGAAATCAAAGGTTCGACCCGGGTGATCGCCTCGGTTGTTTCTACAGCTTACCCATTGCCACAGTGTGATGGTAACCTACCCAGTTGTGCCGCCTGCTCTTCCGTATACCATACAGCTTGTATGTAACCCGTCCGCTTCATGACTAGCTGGTCATGCTGATTGATGTGCTCGTCTAGGTGTCTATGACCCAAACTCGGACCATCGCAGGAAAGGGGTGTACAAGAAAGACACCGACACTTTGCGAACGAAGAATGCCACCTTGTTGACGCTGATTCAAGCTTTGCTCAACTATGAAGAGGAGGATGCTTTCGACCTGGTCCGCCAGATTCGGTCGTGCGACAGCTTGGAGGATGTTGCGCAATCCATTCTCGGGCAACAAAATAAGCCTTCGCTGGCCTCCGACACACCAGTCGCTAGCGGGGATGAGGCCGATCAATTCGAGTCGGAGCTGTCGGGCAAGATGAGTGAACTAATGCTGGACGGCTCTCGAAAGCTCATTGGCGGCACTTCCAACCTCATTTACCTACCACCTGGATCGGAGCTGAATGAATTCAATCCCAATGCGAACCACCAAGACCTGGGCCGGGGTATTGACGCCTCGGTGTCACACTGGACCAGAGTCACTGATGATGAGAAGCTCATAAGTCACCTTATGCAGATGTACTTTACCTGGCATTATCCATTCTTCACAACTTTGTCTAGGGACCTTTTCTATCGGGATTACGTTCGCGGTGTTTCGAGTCAGTATTGCTCGTCTCTGCTGGTCAATACGATGCTAGCGCTGGGCTGCCATTTCAGCTCTTGGGAAGGGGCTCGTGAAGACCCGGGTAATTCGGCGACGGCCGGCGATCATTTCTTCAAAGAAGCCAAGCGGTTGTTCTTCGAGAACGATGAACATGCGAACGCGAAGCTCTGCACCGTCCAGGCATTGGCGCTGATGTCTGTACGCGAGGCTGGATGCGGGCGCGAAAGCAAAGGTTGGGTCTATAGTGGAATGAGTTTTCGTATGGCTTCCGACCTGGGCTTGGACTTCGACTCCACCAGCCTTGGAGTGCGCAATCTCAGCGAAGAAGAGATAGATGCGCGTCGGATCACTTTCTGGGGATGTTTTCTCTTTGATAAGTATGTAGTATCACTGTCACCTCAAACTCTGATGAGACTAACCTCTTCAGATGCTGGTCCAACTACCTCGGGCGCCAGCCGCAGTGGACCGTTGGGGACATTGGTGTCTCCATGCCGGAGATTTTCCCCAACGAGGACGCTGCAATGTGGTCGTCCTACACGGATGCTGGAGGCGCGGAGGACCAGGCCCAGCCTTCGCGGACACGAGCAATCGCAGTACAGATATCTAAGCTCTGTCAGATCAATGGTGACTTGCTTGTCTTTTTCTACGATCTTAAGCCTAAGGACAAGCTTTCCTCTAAACAAACGGAGCTCAAGAAACTCAGTGAGATTCACACCAGACTTGAAACCTGGAAGAAAGATTTGCCTAAGGAGCTCGGCCCCCAAGACGGGCAGCTTCCGCAGGCGCTTCTCATGCAGTGAGTTAAAGACGCTCGTTTGACTGATGCCACGATCACTGATTGCTCTGAAGCATGTTCTACCAGCTCCTTCTTATACACCTCTATCGCCCGTTCCTGAAGTACACCAAGTCCACTTCTCCACTTCCTCAGCATGTCTCGCCTCGAAAGCTCTGCACTCAAGCAGCTTCCGCCATCTCCAAACTTTTGAGGATGTATAAACGCACGTACGGATTCAAGCAGATCTGCAACGTTGCGGTATACATGGCTCACACCGCTCTTACGGTGCATCTATTGAATCTTCCTGAAAAGAATGCCCAGAGAGATGTTGTGCATGGTGTTCGGCACCTAGAGGAAATGGGCGAAAGCTGGCTTTGCGCACGCCGTACGCTCCGGATTCTTGAGATTTCGGCCAACAAATGGCATGTCGAATTACCCGCAGAAGCTGTGACCACTTTTGAAAGTACACATGTTCGATGGGGGTCCTGGGGCTCCTGGGATCAGGCTCTGTCTCCTCCGGCATCAGAAGATTCCCCACCAACGATATCTATGTCGTACCCTGATTCGAATTCCAGGGGAATCGGCCAACCCATGCCGCCACGGCACGCTGTCATGGCTGGTCACGGCGGCAACTACATGCACAAAACACCGGCCACCGCGGTCGGATCAATGGGTTCTCAATTATTACCGGATCTCCCCGTTCCTGTTTCTGCGTCCGCTATGCGTGCTGTCCAGCGGTCCTTGAACGCTCAGCTTGCTCAAGAACCCGCCCGGCTCCCTGAGCCGACATACCTCCGGCCTGTCGCTCATGCCTATGCGCCATACCGCAATATTCCCATATCTCAGGCTGATATGTGGTACAATGATGAGAATATTCGTGCGTTCAGCTCTGCACAGGATAATTCTCCGGCAACCACGACGTCGCCGGCCAACGAATATGGTGGTTCGGAAAATTTGGTGGAAGAAAGCCAGGATTGGTGGTCTCGCGAGTCACACCGTTTTAACTTTGGAATGGACAATTGGGTGCCAGACTGGAATTCTAGCATGTCAGGCAGGGCATCAGCTGCGAATCCCGGTAGCAGTTTTTCATTGATCGTTGGGCAGACGTCGGCGCCAGAGAGCGCTCCGAACCCGCCACCACCCATGAGATTTGCGGTGGGAGCTCCATCTGGCACCAGTAATCCGGATCAGTCTCCCACAACCCCTGGCTATAATAGCATGCCTACGTCGGAAGCATACCCCAGGCAGTGAACCTGGTTTGGCAGTATGATATACATCAAGTTTCGGACCTGATGCAGTGCAGGCTTCATGTCGTTACGGCTGGAAGAGGCATAGCACTGGCCTCTTTTTCTTAACCGCTTCTGTTCCGGTTATGACTATATAGTCCATTAGATGTTTAGAAGTCATGATTTCATCCTAATAAGATACCAAGGTTTCCCCTATATAATCAAGACTGGTTTGTTTATTGACAGTACGGTTGAAGACCTCGAACCACCAACACACGGCGTCTGTGTATACATAGCAACTCACGCTCACGGGGTGTCTGAGCACAAGCCACAACCATCAGAGCCAACGAACTCCCTTCCAGTTGTTTCATTCCTTTTAGCCCAACTTTTGCCACCACACCCCTCGATCTACTATACACCCGTGTAATCCACCAACCCAGCAGAAAGCAAGCTAGCAGCGCGGGGTAATTCCGGGACTTTCGAAGTACCATAGCGCAAGGCTTATTTTGAATCGTGTAAAGTCGAATAGCTTCAGCTTGACTAATAACCCACCCCCCACCAAATGACGCTTGTCTACCGCATAATGCGGTATAAAGCAGAGTAGAAAGTCGAATTTAGGTAAGGGGGCTGGGTTTGGTTCTTGGAGTTTGCGTATTGGTGTTGGGTGGGCAGAGGAAGGCTGCGGTCAGTCGGACGGACTTGGCCTCGTACGGGAATAGTAGGACTTTAGGTGTGGTGCGGTGCGGTGTTTTTTTTTTTTTTTTTTTTTTTTTTTTGTCTTTTGGGGGGAGCAGGGATGATTCTTATGCCTATGAAGGTAATGGCATGTTTATCTAGCTAGTTGGGTTCCCTGGAAATTCCATGGGGTTTCATGGGGTTTCTGTGGGGTAAAAAAGGAGCTTGGAGCTTTGGAGCCTGGAACTTGTAGAAGCTAGTGGCGATGGATGTTGCTTAAGACTGAATGTGAATGTATGTATGTATGAAGAAAGGAGAGAAGAGATACAGATATAGAAGGTTGAAGAAATTGGCACATGCGGAGATGGAAAGAAATGCCGGAATGAGTAACGTAATGTAATGCAACGCAGAGAAAGAAAGGTCGTGTCCATGCAAGTTTGTTGTATTGTATTGGTAGGAGGTAGGTAGGTAGGTAGGTAAGTAGGTAAGTAGGTGAGGCATATATATGGTGCCGAGAAGGAGGTGTGTGATGTCAGGTTGGTTTGAGGAAGAAGGATGGATGGTTTAATAGGATGGAGCAGAACTTTGGTATCACTTATCACTATGGCGTTTGAGAATTAGTCTTTGGGGCGCATTGGGGATGGAGGAGGTTTCTTTGAAAGAGGGGACGTATACGTACCAGGAAATAATCAGCTACAGGCTTCTTCGCGGGCATTCCTCTGGTATCCTGCGCGGCGGCCTCAAAGACCCGGTACCGTCGACCGGGGCTTCGCGTCACGGCCGCCGCTCCGGCCGCACCGCCGTTGCTTCGACCGTAGTCGCCGTTGCTGCGGGCGACCGTGCCCCCGTTGCTGGCATCCTCGCCGAGCTCCAGGATGGAGGCGACGTTGCCGCAGCGGTAGCAGTAGTTGGGGGCGGACCAGACGGTGACGATGCCGCCGTCGAACATCTCCTTGTACCCTTCCATGACGAGCTGATGGGCGCGCGCGATCAGCGACAGGTCGTTCTTGTAGTTGAAGTGCTTCACGATGTCGCCCCCGAACAGGAACCCCGCGCCGCGCGGGCTGAGGCCCCAGCCGTCGATCTCGTCCGGGTCCGACCAGAGGAGGTCGCACATCGCGCCTTCGTGCGGCACTTCTTGTTTGCGGTCGATCAGTCGGATCTTATCCACGCTGTCGATGAGTGGGGAGAGACCCCCGTGGACGCACAGGACAGCCCCCGTGCCGGTGGCGTAGCTGCCGGAGGAGTCGCTGGTGGCGCCGGTGCCTGCCCAGCCGGATCGCAGGGGTGGCATCGAGGAGGCTGGGGTCTGGGTGGTGGACGACGTGGCGGATTTGTCTTGGGAGAGAGAGGGGAGGAGGGGCGAGTCGGTGCGTGGCTGTTTGGGTCGGTAGCTGCTCATCGTCACCTCGCCGCGCGAGTTCAGCACCTCGGTTTCCAGCTCGCTGTCGTCCAGCGACATTGTCGACGACGTGGTCTCCAGCGCGGGGCCCGTGGGCTCCAAGCCTGAGCTGGCGCCCAGCACCAGCGCCCCCAGCGCCAGGTAGTCGAAGACCTCGCAGCAGTACCGCCAGACATTGGCGCTGCCGTATTTCCGGATGCATTCGTCGTAGAAGCCGTAAACCGTCGTGATCTGGCGCGACTCGTGGTTGCCGCGGATCAGCGTGATGCGGTCGGGATAGCGGACCTTGAGGCAGAGGAGGAGCAGGAAGGATTCGAGCGAGTAGAACCCGCGGTCGACGAAATCCCCCATGAAGAGGTAGTTGGTGTCGGGCACATCGCCGCCCACGCGAAAGAGCTCCATCAGGTCGTGGAACTGTCCGTGAATGTCGCCACAGATGGTGACGGGGGCGTCCACGCACACCACATTGCCTTCTTCGATGAGGAGTTCCCGCGCTTTGTAGCAGAGTTCGCGGACTTGAGATTCGGGGATCAGACGGCAAGCGCGTAGTTGCGCGATCGCTCTGCACGGTAGTTGGAGGATTAAGTCAGCGCTTTACTTTCTCTGTTTATTTGTTTTTTCTTTCGTTTTTTTTTTTTTGTTTTTTCTTTTTTGCAGCGCAAGTGAGATATGCACGGTCGGGGAATTTTATCGGAGAGAAAATGAGAGGATAGAATGTATGCAATACCTGTCTAAGTCACTCATGGTGTGACAGTGTTCAAAGGATGAGGCTCACTGGGGTCGGAGGAAGGAAGCTGGAGGGGGAAGGGGTGGGTCCTAGGAATGGAGGACCGGTTTCACTCTGGTTCAAGCCGCAAAAGCCCGGTGATTAAAGAAAAACAATAGCTAAGTGTAAAGGAAATGAACGCTCATCTTTTCGTTTAAAGGCGCTGGAGATCAATAGTAAGACAGAGGAAAAAGGTGGGAGGGGGAAAGGGCGTGGAGGGGTTGAGGGAGTTGAATGGCGGATGATGAGGGTGGTGATGATGATGATGGATGATAATACTGAGAGAGAGAGAAGGTCTGCTCATCTGCTCGGGACTCCTGCTGATTGTAGCTCGGCTGGCTGTTTGCCAATCACGGGGTTTGCAGATAAGATTAGATCTGATCGTCAAGCTCCGGGCGAATTCTTCCATTTCCGAACTGTCCCCTTCCCGAATCGAGAAACCTTACGATGATTCAAGCTTCCCCATAAAGCCACCCCCCTCGCTCCCCTCTTCCCCAGTCCTGCTGAGTTGCCCGTGCGGTCTCGCGCTTGACTTGCTTTTTCGAGGGGCAATGCTGTTCTCTAGATTCATTCTAGTAACCCTCCATTGAGTCAATCTCTTTCCAATTGCTGTCAGGTATGTGTTCCACGTCTCTGCCTGGGGTGCTTTGCTTCATTCTCACCCACTAACGCAATGTCCCCGCCCACAGCCACAGCCACAGCTACCGCAGTCCTGCCCACTCACTGCTTGAGAACCGGCCAATTGCATAGTTCAGCACCCGACAATGCCGCCTCATCTACATCCTCGCTCGCGGTCGACGAGCTCTCTCTTTGCGGCCACTCTCCTCGCATCCCTTTTCGTCGTCGGTATTCCGCATGTCTTCCCCTGCCCTGCCCCCCGCCGCACCCTCGCCGACTCCGAGATGACCGTCAATGCCGACGGACAACAGATACCGCGTGTCCGACGAAGGAAGCGCAAGGATGCGGACCCCTTTAGCCCCGAGGACAGAGTCCTTCCTCAATCACCCATGGCTAGCGACGAAGACGTTTCCACGTTCCTTCAATTAGAAGCAGAGGCTGCAGAGCTGTCGCAAGCGGGCCATCAATGCCCCGTGCCGAAACCGAAGGGGATTTTGGGTGATTTATTGGGATTTACGAATCGCGGGGAGACACCATCACAGCCCCCATCGACGAGGGAAGCCCGGTGACTGCAACGTTTATTACAGGGAAATCTTTGAAGCGTCTTGAGAGGGAGGAAACGTGGCTTGTACTGTGAAATTGGCCAACTGAAGCAATATTGTTGGCGTCGCCGGGGGAAGGCTTCGGACTGGGGGCTTGATGCCTCTCCAAATCAGCCGCATCGACGGCAGTTATATACCCATCTTTGTATCGATAGTGTACTTACAGGCATGATTTGTGTAACTACATAGGATCACTTTTGACATTCAATATGAATATGAACAATTGACACTCATTTGGTTGTTGCTGGTCTTCATGCTAACGAGTAAGTGAGCAAATTAACTTAAGCAGGCGGGCGCGGCCAGGTTCTGTGTGGAAAGAACCACTAAGCCCAAAAAGGACAAGTATTATTGGCTCAGCTCCCGCTCCGGCTGCACGCCGGCCTACTAAGGCCACATGCCTCGCAAGCTGAGCTCACCAAGCATTTGCAATGCACACCTGCGACAACATCCAGAATGGATTGGATGCGCCTCTTCAAAGATCTGTGTCTGAATCCCAGACACACAGTATGGCTCGCTCCACTTCTGGTACTAGGCGACGCCTTCCTATGCACCCTCATCATTTGGAAAATCCCTTGTGTGTTTCTCCTTCGGCTTTCATACTTGCTTGCATGGACCTCCCGAAGCTAACCTTCTCTCTCGCTGTCCACGGCAGATACTGAGATCGATTGGTCTACGTACATGCAGCAGATAGCCCTCTATCTTGCCGGCGAGCGCGACTACACTCTGATCAAAGGCTCCACGGGTCCGCTCGTCTACCCCGCCGCCCATGTATATAGTTACAGCTTCCTCTACCACCTCACGGACGAAGGTCGGGACATTTTCTTCGGCCAGGTCCTGTTCGCGGCGCTGTACCTGGTGACTCTCGTTGTCGTGCTGGCGTGCTATAGGCAGTCCGGTGCGCCGCCGTATCTGCTGCCGCTCCTCGTCCTGTCCAAGCGGCTGCACAGCATCTTCATCCTCCGCCTCTTCAATGATGGGCTGGCGGCCTTGGCCATGTGGCTCGCTGTCTGGTTGTTCCAGAATCGGAAGTGGACGGCGGCCGTCGCCGTTTGGTCGGCCGGGGTGGGCATCAAGATGACCCTGTTACTTCTGGCCCCGGCCGTTGCAGTGATTACGGTACTGAGTTTGTCCCTCGGGCCTAGCATCAGGCTCGGTGTTATGGCATTGCTAGTCCAGGTATGTACCCTACCGTCAATCTACGTCGTGTTCCGTTCTTCGGGTGCAATGTCAGAAGAGGCGCAATGCTAAAGAGAATACAGGTTTTATTGGCGATTCCATTCTTACAAGAAAACCCGGCAGGATATGTTTCGCGGGCTTTCGAGCTGACCAGGCAGTTTATGTTCAAGTGGACTGTCAACTGGCGATTCGTGGGTGAGGAACTGTTCCTATCCAAAAGGTTCTCCTTGACATTGCTTGCTATCCACTTTGTCTTGCTGGTGCTATTTGTTGCCTTTGGCTGGCTCAAACCGGTCAGTTCTCGCCTGCCGGAGTTCATCCAGAACCTGCTCACGGGTCGACACCGCCCCGTCCCACTGTCCAAATCATATATCATGACCGCGTTGCTGTCATCGCTTGCGATTGGTCTGTTATGTGCAAGGTCGCTCCACTACCAGTTCTTTGCCTATCTCTCCTGGGCAACGCCGTTCCTTCTCTGGCAGGCAGGCCTCCACCCCGTTCTGCTGTGCGCCGTTTGGGCAGCTCAGGAATGGTCATGGAACACATACCCAAGCACCAACACGAGTTCAATCGTTGTCGTCCTCTCCCTTGCGATTCAAGTCTTTGGTGTTCTCGCAAATAGCACCAACGCCTTCGCCGCTACGCATGCGAAGCAGGGCAGAAAGGAGCACACCCAATGAACAGTCGGATCCGAAGAGTCATGTGCGTCCGGTACTAGTGCGTTGGTGCCAGGGGTGTGTTGTAAAGTGTCCGGAGAAGCCGGTTCGGATCAACGCTCGTCCGCCAAATTGCGACTAGAGCGATAACCCATCAGGGGTCTCCAAGCGTTGAGACTATTCCCAATGGGAAAAGCATGATCATGCATCAGACTCGTCATCCGAAGGCGGCAGTTTACCAACATTAGACTCCTCCTCAGATTCCTCGTCGTCCGAAGCAGCAACGACTTGCTTGGTGAATTCCTTGGGCCTGCAACAACATTAATAGTAATTCAAAGCACTCTCCATGTGGGTGAACCAACCAGAATGGAGCCTTGCGCCATGCCTTCTCATCCCGGACAATGTTGATAATCTCGCCCTTCAGCTTGTTGTCGCGGCCCTCAAGAGCATTGGTGTCGATCACCACGTAAGATCCCCGCTTGATCCAGATAGTCGAACGGAATCGCGAAGGCAATTCGACCAGGGCCGACTCCTTGGATGGCGTCTCAACCAGGTAGATGTTGTTTCCGGTAGCTTTGATGACCCGCGTAATTAAATGTCCCTGGGCAAGCTCATCCGGCGGCACCATCGTCTCTTCCGCCGTAGCGAGTACCTTGCGCCGAGGAGGGCCCATATTGATCAATTGGTGCTGTGACTGCTAAGGGCAACCAACCGGGCTGATGTTTTGAATGCGAATAGGATGCAGGTGACTTTGAACGGCCAAAGAGGTGACGATATCCGTAATGGAGAACCAAAGTGGATGATGGAAGCTCTGATGGAACCTAAAGATTTTTTTTTTCCGAGTTGAGGAAATTCCCCAGTGCGGAGGGGGAAGTGGGCCTTGCCCGATTCGGCAATTGACTGTTTCCCCCGGAATGCAAGGAATGCACAATGCACCCACGCACTCTCTAGTCCTTCCAGTTTAACTATCCTTTCTATCAATGCATGAATGCGCTGTCAATTCAAAGAAGCGGGTGCGTGTCTCCTGCGCACTTCACTTGCATCGATAATTTCCCTGACGCGCCATTGTCCACACTCGATCTTGCAATGGTTACATCTGCCCGCTGCTAAAGTTTTCACATGCAAAGCCAACTGCTATCTACTCCGTGTTCAACCTAACCTCCGTCATCGCAGCATGCAGACTATCTGGCCAGCCATAGAGTCTTGTTACGAGTCATGTCCAGTTTCCATGCAGAGCCAAGAAGAGCCTTGGTGCCAGCAGGGTCCAACCCATCAGGTCGAGCCAAGACCAGCGTGAGCTTGCTGGATGTACTGTACCAGTCGAGTGAAAGAAAGGCTGACCGACTCCGCATTGCTTCTGGCCCCGCGTCTTCTGGCCTGCGCCGTCTGGAGACCGCTGACCGTGTGAAAGGAACATGTCATGTCCACGAACTTCCATGAGCCTGATTGGCTCTCGGAATTTGAATTCCTATACGATTTTAGCCGATGGACTACGATTTGTCAGCTGGCGGGGCCCCAGAAGATTTAGTCAGTCCATTGCCGTTGCTACAAAAGACCACTGAGTAGACGGCCAAAGGGGAAGGTCGATCAGAACGTGTTTGTGATCCAGCCAAGTACAGAGCTTAGTCTAACGTGCCCTTGCTCACCCGAACCCTGCAACATGTCAGCCTCGGCTTTTGGCGCACTGGTAGAGTTCCAGAGCTCAGCTTCTATCGCCAGTCCTGCTGCCGTTGTGCGCCGAGATAAGCAAGGCATCGCACATACCCCATCCGATCATGAGTTGGTGGAGCTACAGCAAGGGCGCCAGCAGCCTGTCACCGGTGTATCGCCCAATACTGCCACCGATGTGCAGACTTCCATCACCCCGGGTGAACTCGAAAGCCACTCGGCCTCTCCTGGAGAGAATGAGGCTTCCGGTCCGGCTCCGACTTTCAGCAACCCATCCAAGACCAAATGGCGCTTCTTGAGTACCTGTTTGATGAATTTCGCGCAGGGATTGAACGACAGCGCTCCCGGTGCTTTGATCCCTTACATGGAAAAAGACTACAGTATCGGTTATGCGGTCGTATCTCTGATCTTCGTTACCAATGCCCTTGGCTTCATACTCGCAGCCTTGATCACACATCCACTGGAAATGAAGCTTGGTCGCGCCAAGTGTTATGCTCTGTCCATGAGCTTGCTAGTGGCCGGATTCGTGATCATCATCTGCAAACCTCCATTTCCTGCGGTCGTCGCAAGTTTTTTTCTTCTTGGGCTGGGGATGGCTGTCTGCCTGGCGCTGAACAATGTTTACTGCGTGAACCTCGCCAACAGTACCGCGGCTTTGGGTGGTCTTCATGGGTCCTATGGGGCTGGTGGCGTAGTCGGACCGCTTGTGGCTACTGCTATGGCATCACATGGAGTTCGTTGGTCCCTTTTCTACAGTATTAATCTCGCGCTATCGTTGTTCAACCTGGCCTTTGCTGTATGGTCGTTCTGGAATTATGAGAAAGAGCTTCCAGCACAGCTCCTGGGCGCGTTACAGCAGACCGCATCCCGACAAGCGAACGGCGGCGACTCCGTGAGCCGGAGCCGTCTCCTTAAGCAAGTGGTCAAGGACAAGACGACCCTGCTTGGGGCTTTGTTTATCTTTGCCTACCAGGGCGCCGAGGTCTCAATCTCGGGATGGGTGGTATCGTTCCTCATCAGTTATCGTCACGGAGACCCGTCACACGTCGGTTATGTCAGTGCCGGCTTTTGGGCTGGCATTACTATCGGACGCTTCTTTTTATCGCATCCTGCCCACTTTATCGGGGAAAAGCTTTCTGTCATTCTCCTTGTGCTCGGATCCATCGCATTTCAGCTTATGACATGGCTCATTCCAAACATCATCGGGGACGCCGTTGCCGTCGCGATCGTGGGTCTTCTCTTAGGCCCCGTTTACCCTTGCGCTACTGCAGTATTCAGCAAGCTGCTGCCCCGGTCGATGCAGACGTCAAGCTTGAGTTTCATTAGTGCGTTGGGAAGCAGCGGGGGAGCCGCGTCGCCCTTCTTTACAGGTTTGTTGGCCCAGAATGTGGGCACTTACGTTCTGCATCCGATCTGTATCGGACTGTATGGAGTGATGCTTGTGGCCTGGGCGTCTCTTCCGCGTATTGCAAAGAGGTCGGAGTGATTCCTCTTCCAAGGTCGTCATCCCACCCTATACTTTACAAGGGCGTGTTGTGCTGCAACTTGACCTCTTGCAGTGGTGTTCTTGCTCAACTTGTCAAGACATCGAGCGGATGTATATCTTGTGCTGTGCTGAGGGTGAATCATATCGGTCAAGGTGGAACGCGGGTGGCAGATGACCATTGCGATACGGTTGTGGAGTATTAGCAGAGCTGACGCAAGCAAGGGGAGCGACCATCTCCCGCCCGCAAGACCATTAGTGTAGCGTCATAAATCCAGTCTATCCCTTCAGAACGTGTAGCTGGTCAAAATGGTGGGAGTAGTCTTCTCTGTAGGAAGTATTGCCGATCTATGCATGCTGGAAAGTATCCACAGGGGTGGCTAAGACGCCGTGTGTGAGTATGTGTATTTTATATATTCTTGGTAAAGCGGTTGAATGAATTGAAAAAGAGAGTCCCAAGAATCATTTTATGGGGAGGAGGTGGTGATCTTGTATAGATATGGGAGAAGGTCACAAGGCGTGAGTGATGCCTCAGAATGCAAGGCAACAACTATATCCGGGTTGGCGTTATGAATCGGATTCCTCGGGCGGTCAGAAACCAAACGAGATTCCTCCGCCCATACCAATCATACCAATGGTATTCAGATGACCCTATCAGTCCTGATCATACCTTGAAGATGTGATGGTATGGACAAGCTGCCAAGTAATACGACGATATTAGTAGTGGTTGCTAAAGTAGATCCAGGCAGTACTCGTTGGGTCGGAAAAAGCAAGAGAGCGAGAGACACGAGGGGAGGGGAAGGGAGGGGAGGCAGTAAGGTGAGTTGAGTTAAGTTAAATCATCGCCACGGGAGGCCGGTCTCTCTCGTCGCTCTCGTCGCTCTCGTCGCTCTTTCGGACTACTCCGTACTAGTCCGTTCAGTCTGTCTCACTCAACCCGTGGTCCGTTTCCCGATTGACCGCATGGATTGATTGATTGATGGTTGATGGATTGATGGCCTTGCCAGACTCAATGAACTGAGCTGAGCTGAGCTGACCTTGACTGGACTGGACTGACTGGCTTCCATGAATTGACATTCCATCGCATCCATCTTCCATCATCCATCCGCCATCCTCCATCATTACTGCTACAACGGCGACGACTACTACGATATCTACCTCATCTTGTGCTTGTGTCTTCTGCCTTTCCTGGTTTTTTTCTCAATCAAGTCTTTGCATTTCCGTGCTGTGCTCGTTTTCTTTCCCTCCCCTCCTTCTTCCCTTCCTCACCCCCCTCTACAAATTGCAACTGTCAACAAAAGCAAAAGTAAGAGCCCCGCGATCGCCAACTCTTGTTATTGTTGTCGATTTTCTTTCCCTTCCTTCTTCCTTCTTTCTTCCATCCCTCGTCGCTCCGTCTTCCACTTTCCTCCTTCCTTCCCTTTCCCCTCTCCTCCTCCTCCTCCCTCCTTGACTCCCCGTCATCTTCCCTTCCCTTCCCTTCTCTCTCGCTAGCACTTTTTGAATTCCCCATCTCCTTCTTCCTCCTCCCCGCCCCTCCCCCTCCCCCCCTCCCTCCCTCTCCTCATCTCTCCTGTCTGTCTTCTGATCGCAGCAGGACCCGTTCAGAACCACCCCTCTCACGGGTTTCTTGTCCACCTCCCAATAGTGCTCCCCGGCTATTTCTACCTTCACCATGGACGGGGACGAGCTCATCGCCTCGGTCTACCGCAAGATCGAGCGGGAGAAGGCCCTCATCGCCGCCGCTTCGAATATGCGACAGTCGACCGACAATCCGCTCGTGCAGCAAAGAGTTGACGCCAACATTCGCGATGGGCAGAAGAATATTGCTTACCTCGAGGAGAAGATGCGGGAATTGCAGTTGCGCCAAGAAAGAGGCCAGGCGTCCCCGACCGATCGACGCATCCCCTCGGGTGATGGGGCTCCTGTTCCACCGCAGAAGGACTACGGCAATGAGTATGGTGAAGGGGCCGGTCAATATCCGCAGGGAGGATCAGGGTCCATGCCGTCAGGTGCCCCATACGCAGACCCTCGCCCTTTCGCTCCCGTGCCCAAGGCTCGTCCCAATTACACAAAGCTCGGTAGGCATCTCACGTTCCCGGTCGCCTGGATGGAAGCTATTGAGACATACATCCCGGGTGCGACTTGAAGCGAGGCTGACTTGATCATCTTCAGACTTGATCAAATATGACACTCAGTACCTGGGACCCAAGATCCAGCTCATGCTGTCCCAGCTGGAGTTCAAGCTGAGTGTAGAGAAGCAGTACAAAGCGGGTATTGAGAAGATGGTTCGCTTGTATCAGGATGAGGGAGATCGCAAGAGTCGCGCCGATGCTGAGGGCCGGCGGATTGAGAGTAACCAGAAGATCCAGTTGCTGAAGCAGGCCCTGAAGCGATACGAGGATCTTCACGTCGACATCGAATCAGCAGACAGCCCTGATGGTTAGTCGCATAATCACCGGCGCCGTCCGTCACCCTTGTTTCGTAGCTAACCCTTCGTTTCTGCCAGATGAGAGCCTAAGCACACCGAACCTGCGTAAGCCGCTCACAGGTCTGCTAACTATGCGCATCCATGCCGTGCAAGATGTAGATCATGCCACCAGCTCCAGGTTCTCGCGAGGCCCGGAAACTTTCGTGGTTCTGAAAGTGGAGGATACCATTAAAGCGCGCACGAAGCCGACACGGACCGATAGATGGCAGGATGAAACCTTCCACCTGGAGATTGACAAGGCTAACGAAATCGAACTCACCGTATACGATAAGTCTGGCGATCGGCCTACCCCGATCGGCATGCTGTGGGTGCGCATTTCGGACATTGCCGAGGAGATGCGTCGGAAAAAGATCGAAACGGAGTTCAATGCATCGGGGTGGGTTTCGGCGGAAAAGATGGGACATGGAGGACAGCCCGGGCGGCCCGATACTGCGGGAGGAACGGGCTCATCTCAAGGTGGCTCCGGGGGTCCTGCGGGGCCGGGTGGTCAGGGTGGTGCGGCCGGCGCACCGGGTGCTGGCCAGGTCATAATTGATTCTTGGTTTGCGTTGGAACCAGTTGGTCGTATCCAGCTGTCCATGAGTTTCGGTGAGTTTGAAGCCACTCTATTGCACGGCTGGCTTTCGTACTAACACCATTTACAGCCAAGCAACTGAAAGACCGACGCCCGTTCGACATTGGTCTCAACCGTCAAGGTGCTGTTCGTCAGAAGAAGGAGGAAGTACACGAGAAGCAAGGCCACAAATTCGTCACGCAGCAGTTCTACAACATCATGCGCTGTGCGCTTTGCGGCGATTTCCTGAAGTATGCCGCCGGTATGCAGTGTGCTGACTGCAAGTACACCTGTCACAAGAAGTGCTATCCCAAGGTTGTCACCAAGTGTATCAGCAAAGCCAACTACGAGACGGACCCGGACGAAGAGAAGATCAACCACCGGATTCCGCACCGTTTCGAAGGTTTCTCCAACCTTTCAGCCAACTGGTGTTGCCACTGTGGATACTTGCTGCCGTTCGGACGCAAGAACGCAAAACGCTGTACAGGTAGGTGAACCTCCATAAGTCCGAGAGTCTGGCAGGAACTGACATGCGATGCTTTACTACAGAGTGTGGTCTCACGAGTCACGCCCACTGTACCCATCTCGTGCCCGACTTCTGTGGCATGTCTATGGAAGCAGCTAATCAGATCTTGGAAACTCTTATTCGGGCCAAGGTTCATAATAAGTCCCCCTCGGTCAGCTCTGCTAGTGGTCTTAGCAACCGCACTTTGCGCGCTCCTCAAACTCCGCAGGATAATACATCCATGACCTATCCGTCAAAACCTGTCGAGCAGTACGAGCCAGCACGGCCACCCGCTCCGGAGGCTGTGAGCGCTGCGTCTATGTCATATAAACCTCCGCAGTCCCCGACCACCCCTCAAGCATCCCAGACATCTCCCAGGACCTCAGCTTCGGGCGGTCTTGCAAGCCATGCCGCCGCGGCTGCGGCCAACACTCGTCCTCCTCAGGCGATCCCAGGTATGTTCATATCACAAGGTCATGAGCAAGTCATAGGCGGTAGCTAACTCGAGTGACCTACAGAACCAAGCCGTCCTGTGCAGCCCCAGCCACCCCAGCATGCCCGCTACGATCCTTCGGCTTATCCCATGTTCGAAGGAGGAGGCGTGCCACACCAGCAGATGCAAAATGTCGGTGCTCCAGGTCCGTATGGCGTTCAGCAGCAGCAGCAGCAGCAGCAGCAGCCGCCGCCGCCGCCCCCACAACAGAATATGGTAGTGGCACAGAAGCAAGCACCTGAGGCGCCCCAGCAACAACCGAAGGTCCGCATCGGACTGGATCATTTCAACTTCCTGGCAGTTTTGGGTAAGGGTAATTTCGGTAAGGTCATGCTTGCAGAGACCAAGAGCACCAAGAAGCTCTATGCGATCAAGGTCCTGAAGAAGGAGTTCATCATCGAGAATGATGAAGTCGAAAGCACCAAGTCTGAAAAGCGGGTCTTCCTGATCGCCAACAAAGAGCGTCATCCCTTCCTCCTCAACCTTCACGCTTGTTTCCAGACCGAGACGCGCGTGTACTTCGTTATGGAATATATCAGTGGTGGTGATCTGATGCTCCACATTCAGCGCGGCCAATTTGGGCTCAAACGAGCACAGTAAGTTATTCTCGTCATCTAACCATAGCTGGGATGCTAAACTTCTGAGCGCAGATTCTATGCTTCCGAGGTTTTGCTTGCGCTGAAGTATTTCCACGAGAACGGTGTCATTTATCGTGACTTGAAGCTTGATAACATTCTTTTGACTCTGGATGGTCATATCAAGATTGCGGATTACGGTCTCTGCAAGGAAAACATGTGGTATGGTGCAACAACCAGCACCTTCTGTGGTACGCCCGAATTTATGGCGCCCGAGGTAAGATAGTCTTCTCTTTGCTTCTCCTTGGGTTGTGTCTAACATTTGGATCAGATTCTCTTGGATAAGAAGTACGGGCGTGCTGTCGATTGGTGGGCGTTTGGTGTCCTTATCTACCAGATGCTTCTCCAGCAATCTCCCTTCCGTGGTGAGGATGAGGACGAAATATATGACGCCATTCTTGCCGACGAGCCGCTGTACCCCATCCACATGCCCCGCGACTCGGTCTCTATCCTGCAGAAACTCCTTACTCGTGAGCCCGAGTTGAGATTGGGCTCGGGTCCTACCGATGCCCAGGAAGTCATGTCCCATGCATTCTTCAGGAACGTCAACTGGGATGATATCTACCACAAGCGTGTCCCACCACCCTTCATGCCCACCATCACCAGCCCGACAGATACTAGCAATTTCGATCAGGAATTCACAAGCGTGACTCCTGTCTTGACGCCTGTGCAGTCCGGTAAGGCACCAATCCAGTATGCAAGGTCATTTCACAGCAGGCTAACAACTCTTTTTAGTCCTTTCTCAAGCTATGCAGGAAGAGTTCCGCGGCTTCTCCTACACTGCCGACTTCGCATAAACGTTCTCCGCGTGACTTCTCGACTGCCTGTGCTGATTGCGCGTTTGTCTTGTCTCTACTTTGGCCTGATGTGTTTCTCGGATTCTTGATGTTGCCGGTCTTTGGGCACCGTTTGCGCCGGTGTCTTTCACATACCCATAAGTGTTTTGAGTGCCAGTGTAAGCGTGGTGATAGCTTTTGTGAATGCAGACGGATTGATGGCTTCGACGGTGTTTTATTCTACGACATTACATTCTGTTTCTGCAACCCAAGGCCTTTGGTTGTCTTCTAATTTCTGTTTCTTTGTGGGCGTAATTGACGTGCTCGGAATATAATCCTGCTTCAGGGACTATCTCTTCTCATGACTATTGCAGTATGTTTTGTGGCGAGGTCACTCGAGGATGCTGCTATTGTGCTATAATAGTTTATGAGACGATAGAGCTGTGCTTGCGCAGGTTGACAGACAAGTGTAATCCTATTATTCCTTCCTGTTTCTCAAGATGAGCGCACTTGAAGTCTGAGTAATGCCTGGTTGCCTGGTCGCTGCCTTTTCCCGGATTTGACCTGACTCAACACATTAGAGGTGAAATGAAATACATGCCATGTACCCACCACCTCTACCGCAACTTGCTCTTTGTTCAGGCCATGCCTTCTCCGGGATGGAGTGAATGTATTCACTTGTAGCCAGAAATAGGACGGTCTCTCAATCGATCTCACCAGTGACAAGTCTTTGTTTTATCCTGAGCCAGAGCCAACCACCTTCCTCCCTCCTCCTACTCTCTATTACACGGTAACTTGGTACTTCTTCCTCTCACTCCTCCTCCCTTTGTTTGCCACCACTCGCCCTTCCCAAGAGACAAAGACCAAGGGCAGAGAAAGAAGATAAACGGTCTATTGATAATCACCAAACACACAAAGAACAAGATGGCTTCAGATATCCAGTGCAATTTATTGCCCTTGTCGCTGCCGCCGCCTCCACCTCTGACTCCAGATGACTCCCGACATACTTCGGACGAACTCCCGTCGGACATCGCTTCAAACGACGCAGACGACGACAGGCTTGTTGCTAGTGTATCCTCTTCTCTAGGGAATCAGTCAGAATCGCCTCATTTTGGCACGAATACTAACGGCACGAGAAAAGACGTGAGCCCCGAAGCGCCGGCAGTAACACCTGCTACTTCTACTACTTCCACGAGCCAGGCCACCTCCCCAAGCCCGACCCGACGCATCTACGATCTCCTGTGCTCCGCAATCACCGGGATGGCTCGAGCTAGAAAACGAGGCCAGGACAAATCCACTAAGGTCAAGCAAACGAAGAAGGACCCGGACTACGATCCGTCCAAGGAAGACCACCAAGACGAAGAGGAGGAATACCGGTATGGCGCCAACCTGATGAAGATCGAGGCCGAACATCTGGAGAAGTACCTGCACGAGACCATTTCCGGACCCCGGCGAGGGAGGAAAAGCTTGGAGTTGCAGATTCCTGTCAGGATTGAGGAACAGGATAAGGGGGTTACGTATCCTACTCCTCCTGCTGAGAGACATACTCTATTGTCGGTCCAGACGACCGTCAGCAAGAGGCCCCGGGATTCCGACGCCGTCAGTCCTATCATCAAGAGGCTGAAGCTGGAGGAATCGCACGAGTCGATCCTGTCCTCTGTGCAAGATACCCCGGCGCCGGAGCTGAGATTCGACTACCGCCACAATGCATTGGCCGAGTCGGCGGCGGGTCATCTGAGCACCCCGACGACAAATACTTCTCGCGCGGGCTCCCCTCTGCGAACTCAAAGTACCCCGGGTTCCTTGTCGCCGGAGCTGAGTCCAGGTGGTGACGGAGTTGATGTTGCTATGGATGATGCGCCTTCGTCGCCTGATTTGAGCCCAGTCGCTCGGGTGGGTTTTGTTGTGGATGAAGAGCAGTCGCCAAATGTGAATCCAGGCAGCCTGGGCGACTCCATCGTAAATTATCAGCGGCCCAAACCATCTCGGTCTCGACGCCAGTCGCGCGGCGAATCGCAGGGCAAATCGCAGGGCAAATCGCAGGGCAAATCGCAGGGCAAATCGCGCAAGAGAACTTACTCCCCCTCGGCGGACGACAGGTTCGACTCGCCTTCGGACAGCGAGAATGACGAGAGTCTGGATGAGTTCGAAATGCATCGCATCAAGCCCAACGAGACGACAGGGATTGTGTTTGACTTCTCGTCCGAAAGAGCGGCGCGCTGGGCAATGGCCATCAACCTGCCCGAAGGCCTCTACAATAGTGAAGAGCAGGACCTTTTCTTCCGGCTCGCGATGCGGGGCTTTGAGCCTCTCGTTCCCCAGCTCTGGCGGCACGACTTTCCGACGCTGCCGGAATCGTTGTATCCACCGACCTCGGGCCCGTCGTTCAGACCTCTGTTTCAGGTTCGCAGAAGCTCCAATCTGTATGGTGAGTGGTGTTCCCGGGAGACTGTTTAGTTTTGAGTTGCTGATTATGGCCCTAGCCACCAAAGCCTTAGCCAACCTATTCAATGTCGGGGGCCGCGTCCGGGACTGCGACATCCTGGGCCGAAGACCCGAGAAAGTGATCAAGGCAGCCATCAAGCAGTACTTCCTCTGGGCGCTGTTCGATGCCGATCTCCACACCACCGAAGATTCGATCCCCGTGTATGCGGTCTACGCCCAGAAGGAAGGCGAGACGACGCTTCAGGCCGTGCGGCGACTCAACCAACGCCTGCGCTATCTGACCTCGAAGTACCACGAGGTTCTCGGGATGACCCAGGAGGGGCCGACGCAGGCTGGGGAGCCGACGCAGACGGGGGATCCGGTGCAGAGCGAGGAGACGGAGCATCAGGAACAAATCCACGACTCCATCGAGACCCCCCGCAGCTTCCCGCTCCTCATGGGTTTCATCATCTGTGGTCCGATTGTCGCGATCGTGACGCACAGTACGGATCCCCAGGAGGCCGAAGCCAGCTTCGATGGCAAGTTCATCTCGCAGTTCGACCTGTCGGAGCGGGGGCAGGATGTGTGGAACTCGCTGGCTATTGCGATTGCGGTGATGCATACGCGACGGACGATGATTCGGTTGGCGGAGAAGGGACTGGGCGGATTTACGTTCTACGATACTGCGCAGCCGGCGCCGGATAGGGATCTGTAGTTTGCATTTGCTATTTAGGGTATGATGCTCAAGGATTGTTTGCGCACTCAGGTGGTATTCTGAGGAAGTCTTCACTCTTCTACATGTGTTATTCCTGGGTTTTCGTGCTTTCTCTGGGAGACGAGTTGTTCTTTGATGTTTATTTCGGCTGTATCTTTAGGGGTTTTCTATCTAGGGCTTCGCACATTATATATCCATGGGGAGTGTCGATCCTCATCAGCAGTTGAAGATGAGGATATCCCACCCCATGTTAGGCCTGCTAGATAGTACCAATGACCTACTCACCAATCCCATCAGAGATAAGCTTCCAAATCCACTTGTAGAAAGCAACCCATGTTGAAAGAGCAAAAGATCGAGAGCAGGTCACATGACCGGCGGCCAGCCAATTCCCCGCCGATCTCCCCAACTACTACGGAGTAACTACCACTTTCTATCAACAGCCGTACTCTCGTCGTCTGTGAAAACCAAGAAAGAGCTTCCACCATGGACGCGGCAGAAGACCGCGAGGTCAAGCTCCAGCGCGCCTCAGGCGACCTCGTCCAGGAGTTCTCTGCCAAATTACCCTCCTTGCTGTGGAAGCAGCAGCACAATAGCTCCCGAGTCCGAGTCCCACGCCGCTGGACCTCCGCGGCCAAGACCGAGCGACTCGTAGCTTTAGTGAGTTTACCACCAGTTGCCTATACCAACATCTAGCCGGTTCCAGAAGCGACAGATACCCTCGACACGAGAGTCAAAGTCCCACTGACCCGAAATAACAGCTGGAACCCTTCCAAGAGTGGCCACAACTACTGGACCCGCACCTGCAAACCCTCCTCCCGCCCCTGGTCGACGCCTTCCTGGCCTACCTGCTCAAGGACCGCGAGGCATACGCGGCGCCGCGCGAGGTGCCCTTGGCCACGCCCCAGCCGTCGGCGTACCCGCTGCCCCGCGCCGTCGGCCGTCTGCTCTACACCTTCTGCAAGGTGCGGGGCGTGAAAGTCATCAGCCGGTTCTTGAACAATGAGCCGAAGTATCTGGATCCGCTGCTGCGGGCGTTCATTGCCTGGGATGTAGACTCAAATGAGGCGCTGCCGTGGGATGTCCCCCGCCGGATGGTGTGGGAGGAGCGCTATGTGATGCTGATCTGGTTGGCGCATTTGCTGCTCGCGCCGTTTGATCTCGCGTATCTGTCTTCAGATGATGTTGCGGTGCCGTTTGGGAATCTGGGGGTGCTGGGGGGGCTGGTTGCGAAGGAGAAGGAGGGGCAGGGGCAGGGGCAGACGCCGAGGCTGGCGCTGGCGCTGCTCTCCGTGGCTTTGGAGTATGTGCATGTGGCTGGGAAGGAGCGCGAGGCCGCGACGGTCTTGTTGGCGCGCTTGGTTCTACGGCGCGATATGCAGGCGGTGGGGCTTTTGGGGGGGTTGGTTCGGTGGGCGTTTGGGGTGCTGCTGCCTGCTGCTGGGAGTGGGAGTACGGATTTTACGACTACGACTACGTCGGTCTATACGTGTATCGGGGTGTTGTCGTTTCTGGCCCGCTTGGCGGCGTCGGGCCAGGTGGAGGACTTTGCCCCGTTGATCATGCCGGTCTTTCGGCAGACGCTGCGCGTCGTGCAGGGCACCTCGGAGGTGTCGCGGGTCATTCAGTCGTCAGCGTCGGCGAGGAAGATTGTCATCAAGATCCTGCGCGCGCTGACGGTGATGGCGCTGGCCGCTGGCGAGCGGGCAGGCAGTGCGCTACCCGAGGATGAGGTCTCGAGTATCCTGGAGGACTCCATTGATCACTTCCTCGTCGCGCTGGCGGATAAGGACACCCCGGTGCGCTTTGCAGCCAGCAAGGCGCTGAGTATCATCACCCTCAAGCTGGACCCGGACATGGCGTCCGAGGTCATCGAGGCGGTCACCGGCTCGTTGGAAGAGAATATCCTGTACCAGAAGCCGGACGGCGCCATCGTGACGCCCTTGGAGGCACGTCGCATCGGGATGAGCAGCCTCAAACGCAACCTGAGCGCCGTGGACGCCCAACGCTGGCAGGGCCTGGTCCTCACGCTGGGCCACCTGCTCTTCCGCCGTGCGCCCCCCATTCATCAGCTGCTCGCGGTGCTGCAGCCGCTGGTGTCGGGCTTGGACTTCGAGCAACGATCCTCGACGGGCAGCTCGGTGGGCACGGGCGTCCGCGACGCCGCGTGTTTCGGCATCTGGGCGCTGTCGCGCAAGTACACCACCCAGGAGCTCCTCGATCTGACGACACAGGCCATCAGCACCCCCAGTGCCCAAGGGGAGCCGAGCACCACCTTGCAGATGCTGGCTGTTGAGCTGGTCTGCGCGGCCTGCGTCGACCCCTCGGGCAACATCCGGCGGGGCGCCTCGGCGGCCTTGCAGGAGCTGATTGGCCGTCATCCGAATACGATCGCAGAGGGGATCCCGCTGGTCCAGGTGGTGGACTACCATGCGGTCGCGAGACGCTCGAGGGCGATGAATGAGATTGCGGCTGCCACGGCCGCGCTGAGCCCTCACTACTGGAGCCCACTGGTGGAAGCGCTGATGCATTGGCGGGGCATCGGCTCGCCGGACGCCGAGTCGAGAAGGCAAGCGGCGCGGGCCATTGGGGGGCTGAGTGCCCAGGGCTCCTACCGGACGATGCAGCAGGTGCTGGAGCGGTTGCTCGCGCGGCTCCACGGGATCCCGCACGGTGAGGTGGAGACGCGACATGGTTGTTTCCTGGCCATTGCCGCTACGATCGATGCATTCCACGACCAGCGGGTGAAGTCGGAGGGCGCAGCGGTGCCGGAAGTGGTGGCCGTCGCCAGCCTGTTGGATCGGGTCTGGGGGGTTTTCGACTCGCCTTTCGGACCGACGAAGGATGACCTGACGCTGCAGAGCTGGCGGCCGGAGCTGACGGCCGAAGCGTCGGCGTGTCTGATCGACTCGCTCGCGCGCGCGACGTCATCGCAAGCCGAGCCACGGCCTCCCCCTACGTCGTCGGCCGTCGTGGACAAGGCCCGCGAGGTGCTTCTGCTGTGCATATCGCGGAGCGAGGATATCTCGATCGAGACTTCCTCGCAGGCCGTCTCGGAGCTGTGGCCTCTGCTGTCGTCGGAGACGCAGCACGAGATGCTGGAGGCGTGGTTCACGCATCTCAGCACCACCTGGAACTTGCCCACCGGCCGCGGCCAGATCGCGGCGTTGGGTGCGGTGTTCCGACGGCTGCCGCCGGACAGTCCCCTGCGGGAATCGGCCATCGAGAACCTGGTCCGGTGTGCGGAGAAGGAGGAGCTGATCGAGAAGCGGGTCGCGGCTGTGAGGAGTTTGACCGGCGGGGTTCTTCCGCATATTGGTATGTTTGTGGATGCGGTGGGAATGTGAGGTTGTGGATGGGTTGCTGACATTTGACGTTACTGTAGACATCACGGATAGTCTAGTGAACCACCTGGTCACGCTCCTGAACGACTACACCACCGACCGCCGCGGCGACGTGGGCTCCCTGGTCCGCCTCGAAGCCATCCAGGCCGCGGGGATCATCCTCCCCAAGGATGCGGGCCGTAGTCGCGTTCGATCCCGGGCTATCGTCGGCTGCCTCTGCCGCCTCGCAGCCGAGAAACTGGACAAAGTCCGCATCGCGGCCTGGCTTTGTCTGCAGAGTTTCTGGGAGACGGCCGAGGATTTCCCCCCGCTGCTGAAGTATGTCCCGTCCCTTTCTTTCTCTAGTGCGTACAGACCATCGGCCTTTTACTAAGTGAGAGTGATTGTCTAGTAAATACGACCACTTCAGCCACGTCTCGACCGCGCAATACTTCCTCCAACTCCTGAGTCTCCAGAAGATCCCCTGGCTGCGTGTCCCCTTGTTCCAGGGTCTGGCGACCTGCGCGGTGGCCGGAAGCGAGGGACTCATCCGTGCTAGTCGCGCAGCGTTGGTCAAGAGTTTTTGTTTTGGGGCGCAGCAGCAGCAGCAATACCTCCTCGCCCTGCTCACCGACCTCAGCCGGATTTTGGCGACGACCCTGCAGGATGACCGCTATGCCATCCCGGTGATGGAGTTTGTAGGGTTTATTCTTGATGGCTTTGATTTTCGGGCTGTCAAGCGTTCGGAGGGTGTTGCGTTGAGGTATGTTCCCCCACCCCTCTTCTCTCATAGATCAAGTATAGAAGTGTAGAATGAACCCCCACTAACGTACTCCGGCTATGGGGTTTCTGCACAGGGACATTTTGAGAGAGATGTTCGTGCTGATCCAAAAAGCCCACTTCAAATCCCCCAATCTGGCCCGTCTGGAGGCCGCGGTGAGAGTTTACGCGCCGCTGTCGACGGTTGCGGGGGATCTGGATGGGCCTGCCGCTGCGGCGGGGGCGGCAGCCTTGCAGAAGGACGTCCGCAAGAAGATGACGGGGTTGCTTTTGCATCCCTTTCCGAGGGTATGTGTTCCCGTTTCTTTTCTGTGTATTCATTTGGGGGGTTTTGGATGAGCGGGTGTGGGGATGGGGTGGTGGATGGCTTCGGGGTCTTGGAGGGCTACTGGGTGCTACTGGGACGGTTCGAGTAGAAGTACTATGCTAACTCTATTCTGTTTCTTTGTTTGCCGGGCAGGTCCGATCGCTCACGGCGGAGTATCTCTTCATGGAGACCGGGGCGGAGGTGGTCAAGGTGGAGGATTGGACGCGGCCGAATCGCGAGTTGAAGGGGGTGGTGGAGGTTGTGCGGGGGGTTGTTTTGTGAATACTTCCTTAGATATTTGGCTGGTGGGGAGGTCTAGGTGTAATGCATCGATTGACAGTCAGTTTCAGCGAGTGGTTTGATATGACGGTTTCGCTTTCCGGGTTACTTTGCTGCTGCTGCTGCTGCTGCTGCTGCTGCTGTTGTCTTTAGGGTAGGGTAGTGGCGTAGGGTTTGGGGTTTGCTGCTGCTGTGAACTTTGTATAATTGCGGTTATAGACTAGTGATTGTGGTTTGGTTATGGTTATGGGTATGGTTCTGGCTCTGGTAGTGGTGATGAAGACCTGTTTTATACTCAGACAGTCGGATGGAGTCATTCCAGGTTAGCGAAGATGCTGTATCCTATTCTATCCGCATGCTTATCGCCCCTTAGATTCAAGAATCATACTTCCTCGAGGAGGAGGAGGGTAACCCGAAAGACGACCCCTTGTAGAGGAGGTCCAGATTTACGGAGTAGTGCCGGACAATATAAACTACAAACTGTACAATAAAACATAGCGCAGAATAGCATAGCATAGCACAGCCCAGCCTGCGAGCCAGAACTACCTCCCAAGTTCAAGCTCAGCGTCGAACGACTTTGCCCTAACTAGCACCGAGTCCTTCCGTAGTCCTTCCGTGACTCCTTACGGTATGTACTGTACAGTATTACCTAACCCTAGGACCCCATGGCTGCTAGGCTGATAGGTAAAGAAAACGGATATATCACTACTTATTTATAGGAATCAATAATGGGAAAATAGAGCGCACTAGAATGAAAATAGTACTGAACCCTGGAATAGATCGATGTGACGACGTCACGATAAGATGGGATAAGATAAGGTAAGATAAGATGTACTATGCGGAATATTCGGATACAGTGCGCGACGATGCGCGTGAATAAAATAAAATGGAATCGGCTGGGGTAAATCGGAATGACAAAGGAGATAGATGGGTACTCAATTGGGGGGGCTTGTGGATTGGAGCTTGACTGTAGGTGGGTTGTAGGGTGTAGGTTGTGTTGTACAGTGAGAACTGAATTCAGGATCGCGGCCGGGCGGGAGAGGCAAGAGTGAGATGATCTGAGACCGAGAGCGATAAGATAAGGCATGGCATGGAGTTGGTTCATCTATGCAACTGGCTGATATGCAAAGCAAACAAAATGTCATCGCTACCTAGGCAGACACACTAGTCATCCATCTCATCATCCAAATCGATCGCGTCCGGGTTGACGGGCGCGGCGACAGCGTCACCACCACCCACAGGTTGCTGCGGCTGCTCGGGCCGGTTGCCTCCCTCCGGACCGGTGCTGGCCGCCACAAAACCCACGGGGGCCCGCGCCTGTCGCTCCAGCGCGGCCATGGCGTCGGCGTGTTCGGCCGCCGCGGCCGAGTCTTCGTCGCCGTTCTCGAGGGGCTTGTCCCCGGCTTGCGTGCGTTGTTGGCTGCGGGCGATGGCCTGGGAGGCGATGAAGTTGACGTCGGTGCTGGGATTGTTAGCTACATGATTCACCAAATAAGTGACAGAGAACATACTTGTACTGCGCCTGGACACTGCGCTTGATCCGCAACATCTCCTTGAAGGTATCCTCGTTGCCGTGCTGCACCTCGAAGGCTTCCCATTTCTGCCAGAAGCCGGCGTTGGTCCGCGGGTCGCAGAACTGCGAGGCATGCCCGTAGATGGCGCGGGCCCGGTCGATCTCGCCGAGGCGGCGCTCCATCTCCGCGAACTTGAGACACATCTCCTTGGCCTCTTGGTCTGGCAGGGCGGCGATGGCGCGCTCGTAGATGGGCCGCGTGGACGTCAGGCCGAAGTTGGAGGCCGACTTGGTGATGTAGAACTCGAACATCTCGAAGCGGTCCTCGTCCGACACCGCGCGCGTGGCCCGCTCGTAGATCCGCATCGCGTGGCGCGCCAACCCGCGCTCTTCCTCCAGGTTGCCGTACATCAGGTACAGCGGCTTGGCGAACTTGGGCGGACAGCCGTCCAGGGCCTGCTCGAAGAGGTCGCGGAGTCGCTCGATGCCGATCTTACGGTCGACCGCCTTGGTCAGGTACAAATTCCACAGCTCGAAGGCCACCGGGTAGCTGAACAGGTCCAGACCGCGTTCGTAGACCTTGAACGAGTCCTCGAAGTACTTGTGCTCCTCCAGCAGGTTGGCGTAGTTGACCACCGTCTGCGGCGTGGCGATGCGGAGCTCGAAGATGCGCTCGTAGACCGCTTTCGTCTCCTCGATCGTGGACACACTCTCCACCAGATCGACGTAGAAGCTCCACAGCTTCCAGCTCTTGTGCACCCGTTGTTGGGGCGAGAGCGTCTCGTCGAAATAGTCCACCGTCGATCGCTTGGGCGCTTGGGTGGCCTTGGCCATGATCTCGACCGCCTTGTCGAAGTTTTCGCTCCGAAGCTCCATCTCCGCCCATTCGCACCACGTCTCGGCCAGCTCCGCAACCGACTTGAACGGAACCTTGACGGCCTTCTCCATGATGACCCGTGCGGTATCCAGATCGCCGCCGTTTTCGTAGAATTTGGCGTAGTTGACCCACAGCTCCGAGAACTTCCCGTGGGCCTTCTTCGGGTTGATCGCGGCAATCGCTGCGGTGTAGGTCTGTACGATTTCGTGCTTGTTGTCGCCCCAGAGCGCGACGCGCTTCTCCCATTCGATGACGTTGTGAGGGTTCTGTCGCAGAAGCACATCGTTGACGAGGAACGGTCGTCGATCCATCAGCTGTTCGAACCGCAGCATGCGCAGATCGAGGTCGAAGTCGGCCTCCTCGTCGCTCTGGCCGTTGTCCGTCCGCGCCGCCGCCGACTCCATCAGACTCCCGATGATGGACTCCTCGAACTCGACGTACGCGTCGAAGACCAGCGTGAAGTCGCGGACCGTCATGACGGTGGTAATACCCTCCTCAAAGACGTCTCTCGCCTTTTCAAAATTGCCGCGCGTGATCCAGTAGGTCGCCAGGCCCGCCCACAGCTTACCTCTCTGATCCGCAAACCGGTCGATCCCGCTGCGCAGGATGGCGTCCACATCGATGCCGACCCGGGGCCCGGTCTCGATCTGCTTCGCCTTGGAGACCAGCAGGTCCACCATCTCGGTCCACAGCTGGAAATTGCTCTTCCCTTCCTTGGACTGGAAGCGCGAGTCGTCGAGGATCTGCATGTATTTCTTGACGGCCTCGGTGTAGTGGCCCATGTCGACCAGCAGGGCGATGTATTCTTCGGCGTTCTCCGGATGGATCTGCATGTAGCGCGCCCAGATCTTCACGGCCGTGAGGCCCGACGCGGACCGCGCGAAGGTCTTGTAGATCCGCCAGATGCGGTTGTGTTGGGTGATGGGGAGGGCGCGGAGGGCGCGGTCGAAGGTGCGGCGCGTCTGCGTCACCAGTGGCTGCTGCAGCAGAAACGAGAGATACAGCTCCCAGATGCGCGGCATCTTGTTGAGCAGGATGAGGGCCCGCTCGAAGAGCGCGTTCACCTTCTGGTACTCGGCCTTGTACACCGTCACATTGCGGCCGCGCAGGTGGTTCGTCCGGAACTCGAGATACTTTAGGGTGTCAGTTCAACATCTCCGAATTTTAGGCAAAGCCAAGAATCCATACCAGTTTCCACAACTTGTACGATCTCGGAAGTTGTCTGCAAGCGCGTTCCATCACCTGCGATCATCCATCAGTTTCTCCCGTAGAAATTGTGTCCTATTCCGAGAGTACATACAAATGCCTGCTCATACAGCGTTCCATTCTGTTGTTTGTATTCGATATAGGCGAGCCATGGCTTGACGCTGCCGGGATTGCGGAGAAGATCCTGCTCGTACACAGTATCCTGATCGGCCTGCACGCAGAGATCAGTTTCAGCTCTTTCCGCACATATCTCCCCTCCACGCCACTTACAATCAGGTAGAAGTCCGGCCCGGAGGCCGAGGAACGGTCCATCTGTGCGTGTTGCCGGTGGGATCTCGGGGGCAGGATTGTCCCTGGCATTGCGCCACTCGAACTGAGCGGGACCGACTCACACGGGAATCAACGCAGAAGCACCAGGCGAGGGGTATATCGCATACGATATGACAATGAATATCGTCGCTGCTTGAAGGGGGAGGAGGGGTTCTCGACGTGCTGTTTCCAAAGCTGGCGGGCGATGGAAGTCGCAAGCAGGGCACGTGACCGGGTGTCATGCGCCCCGGCGGGCACGGGTTGGTCCGAGCGTTGGGACGGGCGGATTATTGACTTATCAGTTGAGTTAATCGTCATGGCATGGCTTGAGCCGCTCTCCGTCCCTATCGGTTCAGTCCTCCTCCTCCAGCTGGCTATCCGTGGCCTTTGTCTTTTCTTTTCTTTTCTTTTTTTTTTTTTAAAAACCTTCAAGTGTTCTCATCATGTCGGGTGCGGTGGTACGTGATTCTGCAACTGATCCACTTCAATCTTAACATCAAGCTCGGTCACTCATGTTGGATAATGCCAGGGCCGTGAGGCAGTCTTCCCGACACGCCAGTCCCTCGGGTTGATGAAGGGGAAGTTGAAGGGCGCCGAGACCGGTCACAGTTTACTGAAGCGCAAATCCGAAGCTCTTACCAAGTGAGTCTACTCAGAACACCCCTCTCTTTACTACCAGGAAACATTCCGATAGAAACTAACTTTGTATACTCCTACCCACAGACGTTTCCGCGGTATGATTGCTTGCATGTCCCTGCCCCCCCCATCCCGCTCCCCGGGGGGCATTCCCCTTTCCACCCCCTCCCCTTCTCTCTAAAGAGCTCCCATACATCTGCGCGCACTTTCCGCCTACGATCCCCGTTCTGCAACATAGACGCTTAAGTGACTAACAAACACGGCTCCCCCCCCCAGAAATCACCCGCCGCATTGACGAAGCCAAACAGAAGATGGGCCGCGTCATGCAGATCGCCGCATTCTCGCTGGCGGAGGTGAGCTACGCCGTGGGCGGTGACATCGGCTACCAGGTGCAGGAGTCGGCCAAGCAGGCGCGGTTCCGCGTGCGCGCCAAGCAGGAGAACGTCTCCGGCGTGCTGCTGCCGCACTTTGAGAGCTACACCGAGGACGCGATCAACGACTTCGGGCTGACGGGGTTGGGAAAGGGTGGGCAGCAGGTCCAGCGCTGTCGGGAGACGTACGCGCGGGCTGTGGAGACGTTGGTGGAGTTGGCAAGTTTGCAGGTACGTTACTCCAGGCTTGGGGATTGGGGCTTGGGGCTTTAGGCAAGGTTGGGGATGGGAGTTTGCTGACGTTGTGGGGTGGTAGACTGCGTTTGTGATTCTGGATGAGGTGATTAAGGTGGTTAATCGCAGAGGTATGTTTTCCGGAATAGGTATTGGGGTTTTCTTATGCTAATGTTATCGATTGCTAGTGAATGCTATGTAAGATTGCATTATGCTGGAATTGCCAGCAAAAGTCTGCTAATCATGGCCGCAGTGAGCACGTTATCATTCCCCGCACGGAGAACACGATCAAGTGTCAGTGACAACCTTTGGCTCTTCTTTTGGTGCAGGCAAGCAACTAATACATCCCAGATATCAACTCCGAGCTGGACGAACTCGACAGAGAAGAGTTCTACCGTCTCAAGAAGGTGTCCGGCAAGAAACAGCGAGACACCGCTGCCGCCGACGCCGAGATCCTGGCTGCGCGGGAGAAGGCCAAGGCCAAGGCGGAGGCTGCCGCTGCTGCCGCCGCCGCCGCGGCAGCCAACGGAGAGGAAGCGCCCGTCGAGGAGGGAGAAGAAGAGAAAGCGGCTGCAGCAGAAGAGGAAGCCCCTGAGGCACCGGACGTGCTCGGCGAGCAGGAAGATGCCGACGTGATTTTCTAAGTCTAGCGCAGCGATGTCCCCCCTTTGTCTCCCTGTTATGTACCTAGTATACTTCCGAGCATGTAGCTGTTATTGTCTTCACTTGAGAATTTGTGTTTCTTTTTTAAGTCATATCCCCAATGGAAGCAAAGATGAGCATTGGCACAAGCAGATGATGATGCATAGAGAAAAACCCCATAAACCCCGCACAAACGCCAACAGACATGAAACCACCAACAACCCCACACCACTCATTGTCTCTGGTACGTGACCCGGATGGGTTTTCCGGTCTCGCCCATCGGCATCCCCGACGTCGCCTCCTTGGCACTGATAGCCCCGGACTCGTTCTCGTACTCGACGAAGGCGATCCCCTTGCGGCCCGGCACCAACCGCACCTCCTGGAAGCCCTCGAACCGCGCGAACACCGCGGTGAGGCTGTCCTGGTCGGCCGTGTCCGGCAGGTCCCGCAGGAACAGGATCTTGTTGGGCGGCAGGTACTCGTCCGGGATGACAGTCGCGGCGGCGCCGCTGGTAGGCTTGAGGCCGGCGCCCTTGGCCGCCTTGGCCGGGCGGCCGGAGGGGTCGGAGGGCGCCACGACCGCGCCGGAGGGCCGTTTGAGTTTCTTTTGCGCTTCGAGCGCCTCGTGCGCTTGTTTGCGTTCTGTCCAGCCGGGCCACAATGTCAGCATCAGCCTCACATCAACCCCAATCATACCCTTCGCAGCCTTCGCACCCCAAGCACCCCCACCCCTATAATCCCAAGAAACAAAAAAAAAGAAAAAAAGAAAATAGAAACGAACCTTTCTCCGCCCCGCGCCGCCGCTTATGCGCCTCGAGCTCCTCCTCGCCCCCCTCGCGCAACACCGTCGCGTCGCTGCGCGTGCGCGCGTACTCCAGCACCATGGGCTTGTCGAACAGCTCGAAGCCGTTGATCTCGTCGATGGCCCGGCCGGCCGCCTCGACCGAGTCGAAGACCACGAACGCCTGGCCCTTGGCCTTCAGGTTCGTTTTAGCGACAATCTCGATCACATTGCCGTATTCCGAGAAGATCTCGTCCAGGGAGTCCTTCAGTTGGTCGATTTTGATGCGTTCTTCGAGGTTGCGGACCTTTCGGGGTGGTTAGTGGGGTTGAGGGAGGTTGGGGGTGGGGGGTTTAGGTTTAGGGTGGGCGTACGTAGACTCTAGTTTGCGTTAGCTTTAGATTCTCTTGTTTGAGTGGGGAGTGAAGGGTAGGGTAGGGTATCGTGGTCAAGTGTCTGGACGTGGATGTGGATGTGGATGTGAATGTGAATGTGGATTCAGGCGGAGATAAACTTACGTGCAGTTGGGGGGCGTGGTTGTTGCGGGCGCGGCGACTGCGGCCATTCTTGCGGCTGGTGCACCTGGGGTGCCTTTCGTTTTGTGTAGGGTAGGGGGAAGGAATTGAGGGGTAAGGGTGTTGAGAGGAACAGGAAACGCGCGCGGTGGTGGTGAGGTGCAGATAGAGCTTCCGTTCTGTAAACTTGCGTAGCGTAGCGGCCGGCGGAGGAGGAGCAGGAGCAGGCTGTCCGAGAGAGAGAGAGAGCGGTGCCGCTTTAGTGGCCGGGGCGGCAGCTTACGGTCGGGTCAGGTGATCTGGGTCTTGGTTTTGCTGGACTATAAGTTACCACCGCATGTACAACCAACACAACATTACAAATAACAATGGCCAGAATGGATCTGTCGCCTGGAAATTAGATCTGGAGATGGGATTTGAACTACGGAACTCAGCCTTCTCACTCAAAAGGTCTATATCTCTCATCCCACCGTCCGACAAGCGTCTATCTTTATGTCGACAGCCCCAGCTCCGCTAATCCTACCGCTGGTGTACAGCAACCTCACCAGTTCAATCCCTGGAAACTTATTCTTTGCTCGGATGGTCTACCAACGCGCAGAAAGCAATCTGATCTCATGCATCTAGATGTCGATGCCGAGCTTGACCCACCAGACTTCTCTAAGATATCAACACAGAGCTCGAAGGTGACCGGATCCAGCAGCACACACCCCGAAGAGAAAGAGGGTAGTGCATTCATTACCAACCACAGATGGAAAAAAGAAGGATCACACCCCTGAATAAGGTAATGGAATGTATGCAATGTATACGCATATACTTAGCTCACTGCGTAAATCTTGAGCCTGATCTGAGAGATCGAACGAAATTGGACACTGAAGGTCGCAGCACCTCTATCTTTCTACCCATCTTTCTATCTGACCATTGGCGTTTGATCCATCTCCTACACCAATTGTAAACAAGGTCTTCCATGCATAGGACAGCGAAAGAGAGGGTCTTGCGCGTTCATTGTTAGTATCGTATCATATCGACGAGGCCCGGTATCGAACACTACAGCTACTGGGAGGCACATACATAAATGCATGCATGCATGCATCCACCACACACAGCTTCAACAGAATTAGATCTATAGGGGGGTGACGAAAAGCGATTATATTTACAGGAGTATGCACACATAGACAAAAACCACAACCACTACCAACACCGATTCCACATCGCATCGCGTCCCCAAACGGGCCACAACCGCCCACAGAAAAGAATACACCCACGCTGATGAAATGCCCGAAGCTATATACCTACTCGACGCTAGGCTGCAGTGGAAGACAAATCGACTGGCGGGTTGGGTTAGTTATTCCCTGACAGAAAAAGAAGGTCTACAGCACGTCTGCAGGCTGTCTAGCGTCAAGTCATGGACGGAGTTATAAGCCGTGCTCGGCGTTGCCATTCTAATCGGCCTTTTTGCCCTTGTCGACGGGCAACGGCGCCTCCTCGCTGGGAGGTGCAGGTTCGGGGTCTTCGATGGTGGTCGCAGGCTCAGCACCCTCGGGCTCGTCGTTCGCGACTTCCGCCTCGGGCTCCACTGTTGTCTCGACGTTTGTCTCTGGCGTGGGCGACGGCGACGGCGACAGCACCGCCGAGACAGGCGCCGACGCGGCGGGCTTGGTTTCATCCTGCGGCGGGAAAATCTCCTGGAACAGGTCGGGCAGGAAGCGGTCGAGGCGCTTCTTGGTCTCGGTCCAGATCTTTTGTCTGGTGTCGTCCTGGGACGGCGGCACGAGGTATCCGCCGTCGGCCATAACGAGGAGAATATTCTTGAGACTCTCGGGGATGGCTTCTTGCTGTGGGGGGTGTTAGTCTTGTTCTGAGATTTGGTGGGCAACAAACATACCAGACTGTCGCCCTGGCCGCTGTTCATCATCCGATCCAATATATCCAGAATCCGCAGCCAGAGGTCGAGCATCCCGTCCCAGTTGGGTAGCTGGTCCAGATACCGCAGGAAGATCTTGCACACCAGTGTGGCCACCTGCACGCGCGTTTCGCCCATCCCTACGGGGTCCGAGTGGTAAACTTCGGGTTTCAAGAGGCGCAGGATCAGAGGGAAGAGCACCTGGTCGAAGATCGCGGTCCATTCCTTCTCGTCGGTGGCGCTGATCTGGAGGGACAGGAGGGTGCGTTGGAGGGTCGAGACGGCGTGGTGGCGGATGTCGCGGCAGGGATTGATGCATTGGGCTGTCAGAGACTGGAAGATCGGAGACCAGTAGGCTGACCAGGCTGGCTTGTGTCAATTGGTGTTTTCGACTGATGGAGTTGGCTACATACCTTCGTTCTCTTCCAGGTGCGACTGCTTGATGAGTGCTGGGATGCGGTGGGTCAGGTGGAAGACAAAGTTGATGGCCTTGACTCCCCTCGCAACCACCTCGTTCTCGATACTAGATCTCGGATGCTTGACAGCCTTGCGTCGGCCGTGGGTATCCCTCTGTCGCTCTTCAATGTAGCCCACACTGCCAGCGCTGATGAAGTCGTTCGCCAGGCTGACGGCAGACTCGTAGTTGTCAGCCGTGACAATCGGTGGGTTCGACTCTACAATAGTTTGGAGCAGGTTGAACACCAACGGAGCCGCTTCCTGGTGCTGGTGCAGCCTCTGCAAAATAGACCAGAAGTCCGGCGAGGCGGAGACCTCGTTCCGCAGAGCCTCCGCATCTGACATGCATCGTGAAAGGCTCTTGATTACAGGAATGGCAATGCTTTCCAGAATGTCCTGGTCAAAGCCAGAAATCCCATGGAGAATCACCGGCACACGCATATAAGGCTGGTCCTATAATCTGTCAGACACTTAGAATAAATGATAGCAGAGGGAGCCGTACATAGCTCAAGCGCAGCAGGTTCATGAGGTAGTAAATGATCCGTGACAGCGCCAAGGAGTGGATGTTCCGGGCATCTCGGACAAAAGCTTGTAGAGAGGTCAAAAGCCTCTCCCCAAGGCTTTCCAATGTCTTGGGGTCACGGAGAGTGAGGACGGTGGCCAATTCCAAGAGGTAGAGCATGCCCGGATCGTACTTGGGCTTGCTGGCATTGGCTCTGCCGTTGGCCGCCCTGGGTCCAGGTGCCGGGCGCTCCGACTTAACAACGATAACGGCCGGGGCGCTTTCTTCAGGGAGTTGATCCATAAGGGCTTCCACCAGCCTCGTAACCGTCTCCAAGGGAAGGGTCCTGAACCGTTAATACACAATAACCACAAATGGGTGCATTTAACTTACTTGATGTTGGCCAGAATCTCATCGATGGAGCACGCTGAGATGCAATCAACCGTGCACAACGTGTTGTCCAGCTCCTCATCCGACGGCTCGGGAGGCTCATCCGCTGCGTAGCTGGACAGATATGAGGTGAACGCAGACAGCAGGCCCGTCTCAGTGCCTCGTCCGTCGCGCTCCACGACTTGCGAGGGGTTCTGCAGCGGGATCGGCGACAACTCAAGCTCCGCGTTGAGAGTAGAACTGAAGGGGGGAATAAGAGCGTTGATGAAAAGATTGTTAAGGATGCGGATTACATGGGTCCAGCCCTCTTGAACCGTAGCCTCATTGCCCGCGAGAACTCGGAAGAGAACCACCGCGGCCAATTGAGCTCGGAAGTCGCGTCCAAATTTGACGGCCAGTTCGCTGACCATTACACTCTTCTCTCCGGCCTGCACCTCGGTGTTGAGGGCGGTGCTGGGAGGATTCTCCGTGGCTAGAGTGCTGATCGAAGCCAAACAGAAGACAATGCGGTCCAAGGCGGCCGTCAGACCATAGCGGGCAGCAATCTGTGCACACTGGTCGAAGCCCGTCACCACGCGAGAATAGACGGCATCGTCTGAGGCAGACATGAAGACGTACGACAGAGTCGCAATCACAGGTTTCCAGGTCGCCTCGAACATCTCCGCATCATAAATATTCGTCTCGCCTACCACAAGCTCGCCGGCCGAAGAAGACTTCAGCAGTAGCTCCCGCCATGCATAATCGAATGCATGCTGGTTATCATGCTCCTCAGGCAGGATAATCTCATTCTGTTTAATCGAGTCATAGACGCCTTGCAAGAACTCTGGCGCAAAGTCCTGGCCTGCGTTGACACCCCGCAGATTTCGAGAGAAATCCGTGCAGGACATGCGATTCTGCGATCTAATATTCGTATTGTATAAATCAGTGTTCAGCATAATAATACCATAAGTCAGCACGAAGAGGGCATCCTTGTCCGCAATCTCGGTGGGCTGAGCCTTCTGCATGTACTTGTCTGTAAAGGTGGTAACGATGCGCTCAATCAGCGGCGATTCCCCAGGCAGGCGGAACGCGCCCAGGAGATCGCGGAGAGCATCGACCACGCTCTGGCCGGAGAAATCAAAGAGATCGACAAAGGCATCAAGCAGTTTTTCGTTCGAACGTTTGGAGATGAATTCGCCCAGAACCTTCTTTGACAATCGAGTGGTCCCTTTCAAGAAACGAGCGACGAGGACCGGATCGTCGGGGTTTTCGATAATCCCCTGAGAGGCTAGGTAAGCGACTCCAGCCTTGGGGTCCTCGTTAAATTTCTGAGCTCCTTTGATAATGATCTTTTTAGTCCGACGCTGATGGTGAAGCTCATCCTTAGATGGAAAGCCCTCTGACGGGAATTCCTCGTCTAAGCGATCGTAGATAAATTGGACATAGCTCAGGAGAGCATCCAAGCACAGAGGTGGCACATTGGTCGTGCTCCAGGTGGCTGAATCGGGAAACGCACTCCGAGAAAGCAACCCAATCATGTCCTCGCAGAGGTCCGCGCGGTCAATATCGCAGTCGTAGTTGATGAACAACTCCACCATAAAACTTGGAATCCGTGCCAGCACGCCGATACTCTCCACCATCGCCTCGCGAGTTTCCGGCTTCCGAGAGCCTCCTTCGAGACCGAGCTTCTGGCGGTCTTTCACAGGGACCGGAGTCGACCGCCCACTGTTCGATTGCGAAGGAGAGGGCTTCACCAACTTGGGCCGTTGGGGTACCCCATCGTACAGAGCCGGGTTGATTCCTGGCTCCTTGGGTATTTCTACCTTGGGATGGAGACAGGCAACCAAGTACGACAGATAAAGTTCCTGCTGAAGCTTCAGCACTGAGCGACAAGTCAGTAGCAAAGTGCCTGCCACCCTGAGCGACCCCGTCAGAATGGCAATATTCTCGGACCGGACCAGCTGGAAGAGATAGCGGCACAAGTCATCTTGTGCCAGGTTGGCTAGACTCGGGTGCTTCGCGATGGACGGACCAGCAACCTCCAGAGCCACGTCAATGATCCGGAGGGCCATCACCTTCATCGGCTCGGTATGCTGGCGGTTGTGCGGGTCCAAAAGATCGATCAAAACTCGGAACAATTCGCGGATTGAGGGTAGTGAATATGGTTTGATATCTTCGCCATCATCATCCTGAGGATTGGGGGGAGCGCTCACGGCGGCTCCGCTCAGCGACTGATCGGGAGTACTGTCTCGACTGCTGCGTTCCCGCTCTGCAATGGCCGTGTCCGAACCTATGGCGGATGGGTGCTGAGAAGTGACAGTGTCTCCATCCACGGAAGGATCCATTTTGAGATTCGCCTGCTCTGGGTCTTTGGGTGTCCGGGTCTCCAAGTCTGTTTCCAGCGTTTGCGAGACGTCTAGGTGAGTCAAGCGAGAGAAGATGACCTGGCACATGTTGACCATGGCCATCTCAGCGGATCTCCGCAAGACCTCAGATAGACGGACCTGACAGCACATACTCAGACCGGTCTCCATCATCTCACAGACACTCTCATCTCCCAGCAAGTCCCCCTCCGGTCGCGACAGCATGCCTTCCATCAATTTGAGGATGCGCAGCAAGACGATCTCATCGGCGGCGGAGTCGCTGGCCTCGAAGCGGCAGTGGGTAATGGCGGCGGAGAGGAGTTGCATGGCCATGGGCAGCCTGGGCGAGTCGCGACTGATGATCTGGTAGGCGAAGAACTTGGTGAGGGCCACCAGGGCCAGGGAAGTGATTGCGGCCGAGGTGGACGAGGAACGGACGACTTGGAGGAACGGATGCAGCAAGGCGGGGGCATCGAAGGTTCGGATATCTTTGCAGCCCTTGAGATCGCTTCGTAATCTGGTAAAGGCAGAGATTAGAGGGTTATCTTGCATGCTCTTGCCCTTCTTCCCTCTCAGGCCCCAGCGATTAGCTAAGGCATGGTCATCGTCGGCGGCGGACAGGCGGGAGGATGGCCGAGTGGGCGTGGTGCCATTCCGCGGACTCGGAGGGGTCGAGGTATCACGGTCGTAGACTCGTGAGACAGTGCCCCCTCCCAGAATGGCCGAAACGGAAGAATGAGCCCAGCGGGTGTGCTTCCGCATGGCGGAGGTGACGGTGATACATTCTGTGATCACCAGCGCGACCGGGTCGACCGCGATGGGGAGGGCTGAGGACGACATGACGAGTGAGGGGGGGAATTAGGGAGGAGGAGATGAGGGGCGAGGATGTCGAGGTGGATTCCAAGAGAGCGGAAGGAGATTGCTCAGCGAAGGAGAAATGTCAAACCATGGCCCTGTCAGAGGGGAAGAAGTTCAGCAAGAAGAGAGCAAGAGAGAGATGAAGATGGGAGATAGAGAGAGCAAGGGCATGTATGCGGGCGGCGGGAACTCAACAGCTGGTCAGTATTCTGCTGCTCCGAGGCGGAGAGATCGCAGCAGTCTTAATCGGGATTAGCGGGATGGCTACCCCGGGGGGGACATCGGAGGTACTGCACCGTACAAATTTACATGGAGAGTGACTGAACTTATCAGATTGTGCATTGAAGTTCAATTATCGCAACTCTTACGGGTACTATAGTTACTACTGACACACAGTAGAGATCACTCACAGTTATCGCTAGTCATATTACCACTGCGACAAGTCCTGTCGTCACCATCCTTCCCCACCATGCAGGCATCATTGGAGTAACGTGCTAATGCTAATCCAGAAGAAATCAGCAAGGATGGCAGCTTGTGTCTCGAAATAGTCTATAATTCCCCTACTTGGGGGCCGAAACGCGTGTTGCAGGCGAAAGCCGATGACGGAATGGATTAAATCAAGTCAGCTCGCAACTCGGATGACGAAGTTATTCCCAGCCTCCTCAAAAATCGGGTGGAAATAAGATTGTCTGGATGCCAAGGGCGCATCCATGGTTGAAGGAAGAAGCAACCAGGCTGAAGGCGGTCGGCCGCTGTTTTGGTGTCTCCACCATTCCCTTTTCCATCCTCCACTCCGTATCTTCTTTCTTCCCAAGCTCACCAGTTACATAACGGTCATGAACCCGTCGTCGTCGGGCAAAGCTGCCATTTCAGCCCGGCGTAGGGCAGTCAGGGCAAGCAGAGGTTGAACCCCTGCAGTCGGCAAATGATGTCAAGCCCATATCCACTTCTTCTAGACCGTTGTGTGTTGACAATGGGTTGGTTCTACACGTGTCGCGTCCGTGTCCATGGATACAGATCTGTCAGGGACACTTGCAAAAGTCATTCTTGGTTATAGCATCGAATCACTTCTAGATAGTTGATACAGTGCCTATTTCCAGCACAAGCAGCACTTGACAAGCTACACTAATTTAATACAATAACTACTCCGTACTATCGCTTGTAATCCGACCCAATCAGCACTAGCCAGTCCATCGGCCAGATCCATGCGGAGCTGAGCTGAAGGCCAGCCACTCGGCCTTGTTAGAGACACTCAAATCCATCCATCATCAATCAATCAATCAATCAATCAATCTTCTTCCTATTCCCCTGCAGTGCTCTTGGCTTAACCTGTCTAGACTTGTTGTGTCCTGCCCCTCTTCTTCTTCTTCTTCCTCTCCACTATCACTCGTACTGCCACTGCCACTTCTTTCACACTGCCCACTTCTCCGGCTTCTTGCGTTGCGCCCGCCGAGAAACGCGTCCCCTCGTCCCCTCCCCCTCTCCACCTTCAACTGCTGGCTGCAGTTGTCACCCAACCTTCCCGGCTTCGTCCTTCGTCCTCCTCTTCTCCCATTACTTTCGCGCTCTCTTCCCTTCCTCTTCCTCTTCCTCTTCTTCTTCTTCTCTCTCTCTCTCTCATTCTACCTCTTTCCTTCGCTTTCATCTCCTCTTCCCTGGTTCCTCTGCCCATGGAGGGGTGTCCTTCTCTCGTCCTTTGCATTGTATAACGCCTGTCCTTCGTTTCTTTTCCTTTGCGCCACACCCAATAGTATTATGTCTTTGGTCAATCTTTCGCTTGTCATCGACCCTCTTTAATTGTTCCCCTCTCCGACTGCCCTGGTCTTGTCGTCCAACACCAAACTTCCGTGACTAACCGTCTCAACCATTTCTCTTGTCCTCATCATCTATAATCATTTGCAGACTTATACTTTTGTGTCTAATCTAATTTTGTCGAGCGTGTGTGATTTCGCTCCTTCCTCCCCCCGCGGTTGTATGCGAGTGCAGCGCCTGCCATCTCCGCCAACATGGCGACTGTCACCAACGCCCCCGCGGACCTGCCGCTCGAGCAGCTGTCGCTCTACCACGCCTCCGACCCCTACATTGCCTCCGTCTTCGTCTTCTACGGCCCCGTCGCGACCGCAAATGCCACCGTCAGCAGCTCGCGCATCCAGGCGCATATCGTGACCCCCGCCGGCTTCCAGAGCTATCCCCGCATCACCGTCTCTCCCGCCGCCCCGCTGTACGCCGCCGTCAACCACCTCCCCCGCGAGAAGCAAGGCGACGAGGTCAGTCGCGGCCTGGCCGTCAGCATGCTGAAGTACTTCGCAGAGCTGTCCGACCCAGCCAAAGAATGCCTCCAGGCCATGGCTCGCGCGGGGAAACCAGGTGTCAAGGCTCCCAAACTCTTCGACGAGATGCATGCCGCCGATTTGGCGAATCGAATGACAAAAGTCGATCACGCCTCCGAGTTAGTGCGCGACATCCGAGGCGCCTTTCAGGAGCGCAAGGTGCCCTGGGTCGATATCGATGTCGTCCTGCCCGCCGGGACGATCCAAGTCCCCGAGCCCGATAATGATGATAATGTTTATGATGGTAATGCAGACTTCTATGACGGCCCCGATCTCCGATATGGCCCATATACCGCCCTCATCCAGACCCTGGGCGCCCCCATGTTCCTTCCCACCTCCCGACTCAAGCGCGCACCGTCCCAGCCGACCAACGTGAGCAAATCGAAAATATTCTCCGCCAGTCAAAAACAGGCTCTGCGATTGACCATGTGCGAGCTGGTGGATACGGAGGAGCGCTACGTCAATAAGCTATACACCCTCGTTTGCCAGGTGGCGGAGGAATACCGAATGAAAGCCCAGTTGCGCCTGTCATCGAGTACGAGTCCGGACGAGGCTGATCTGGCGACTCTGTTCCCGCCGTGCTTGAATGAAATCCTCCAGGTGAACATGGGTTTTCTGAGTGTGATTCGTCAAGTCTTGGAAGAAACAGAGAAAGACGCCATTGCAGACATGACTGAAGATACGGAGCTTTCATCGTCTATGTCGCAACGCACATCGTCCAGGGAGGACAAAGACACTATCGGTGCTGTGGCATTTGCAGACGCACTCCTGGACTGGTTCCCTCAATTCTCCGAGCCGTATGCGGACTACATGCGGGCCCATACCGGCTTCACTCAGACGTTGAACTCGTTCATGAAAGATAAGAATTCCAGTTTCTCCAAGCGCGTATACGAGACCGGGGAACAGAAACTCCGCTCACTTCTCATGGAGCCTGTTCAGCGTCTGCCCCGATATAGTCTCCTCATCGACACAATGACTAGTAGTCTGCCGTTGGTACACCCGGCCGTGCGTCCACTGCTGAAGGCGCGGGATGTCATCAAAGACATCTGCTCCCTCGACGATGCCTCGACCACCAACCATGATCAGAGTTTCCGACGGCTGAAGGAGCTGGTTGACGGCTGGCCATCCACCATACTGCCAGCCGGCCGTCTCATCACAGCGGTGGATTTCAACGAGCTGTCGCCGCCGTACCATCTTGATCTTGCAGAGGAGCCCAGCCCAGGGATCATGCTGATTTATAAAAACTGCCTAGTTTTGTTGTCTAAAGCGATGGGAGGTCGAACAACCGCGCGCGGTCTTCTGGCGGATCTAGACAACGCCGCATCAGCCACTCCAGCAGCCACCAATATTCCGCTGGTACCAGAGCTGCGGGTGGTCCAAGTGTACGATCTGCACAATGTTCGATGCATGCAGTCTAACTGTGGACGTATTTTGTTCCTGGCGCCCATGTCGGTGAAGTCGCGGCCCAATCAAAACACCACCGTCGACCTGCTTGCATTGGAGCCCGTGTCCATGTATGAAGGACGCGCCAGTCGCATCATCGAGGAGATTGTGAAAGCCAAGATCGAAGGTCGATTTTCGGAAAGTGAGCGAGAGAATGGAAAGTGGACCTTACGCAGCCCATCTGGGACGGTGGCCAATCTCGGGGTTTTGGCATGTGTGTTCGAGGAGGAGGAGACGGCTGCCAAACGACCCAGTGCATCGAAAATCCGGATGGTGTTCAATACTCCCCGCGCAGTCTGCAGCCAAACGTTATCGAATTCCGATCTCGAGGTTATTGTGTCGGTCTCCGCGTCGAGCGAGGACCAGTTTCGCGTGGACATTGACTCCGTCGTGGGCCATGCATCCTCCGATCTTGTGACCGCGGACAGCTTCGTTGCAGTCCTGTCTAAGCGCTGTAAGTATCTTAATGCCTGTGTGTGTGTGTGTGTGTGTGTGTGTGTGTGTGTGTGTGTGTTTGCTGACTGCAGTTAGTGTCTAATGTGTTACTCCCGCTGCATGGCCCGCAGAACCGCACGATGACCGAATCGATAGTGCATTCCAACTTTGAAATCCTGCGGTATCTCGCCGGTCATCTCATGGCCAACTTCAAGGTCCCGCGTGGATTTCGACCGCCATCAGCCTCAAAGCTACTGTCCAGTCTGCTGGGTAGCCACCAACCCAAGGACAACAACGCGGGCAGCATAAAAATGCCCAGCTCAGCAGCGCTGCTTGGTGAATTCCCTCGCATGCCACCGCCTCGAGGGAATATTCCACGGTCCAATACGCTGCCTTCTGCGTTTCCAGGGAAAGAAGAGAGTCCGGTTAAGATTTCTGTGGTTGGCGCGCCGCCTTCGAGGGGGCAAGAAAGTCCATTCAGCGCTCTGGAGCAGACCTTTGCCGCGTTCGCTCTCGCTCTGCAATCTCGGAGTGGAAACATTGTTGGACGCTCTTTACGTGGCCGAGACAACGTGGATCGTTCGTCAGTCAATGAGCTGTATAATATCCTCCTGGAAGACCCAGGCAAGATCCAGGCTGCGGCTGAGGTGTCGGTCGATACATTGTTCGTGGCTTTTGAGACGTTCATGGCTAATGCATGGCGCGAACACATGGGGCCCGTGATCGATTCGTCTTCATTGAACTCGTTGCAGAGCCAATTTGACAGCATGTTCCCGCGAGATTTTGAGGAGAGCTTCCGCAGATTTCTTGCTGACATGAGTCCTCAAAATCGCCGTGCGCTCGCTTCCATGATTCGGTTGCTCGCAGAGCTTCTTGATGCCTCGGGGAATGACGGAGATCGTGGTGCGTTAACGGCAGCCTTTGCAGAGGTCCTGACGGTCGAGGGAGATCCGATGCAGTACATTTCCCTGTTGGATCGTCTCGTGGATGACTTTGATAATTTGTTTGACGAGTATATCCCCGGAGGCGCCGACTTGGAAGGGACGCTTAATTGCGACCAAACCAAATCGGTGTCCCAGACGGCGGGCTCGATGAATTCCAATGCGTCGTCGTTCCGGAAGCGCTTCGGATTCAGCCTGCACCGCGATAACTCCAAGTCGGAAACGGAGAGTAAAGTATCGTCCATTTTACGTACGTTGAGCAAGAGTAAAGGATCGGGCGATTCCGAGCCTGGGACGCCACGAGGGTCACTGCTGCTCCGGTCCAAGTCCATCGACGTCGACACGGGGCTGGTTTCGTTACTGCGGCCAGGCTCCCGCGATCGCCCGGGCGCGTCCACGTCACAAGAGCATCTTCGTCGTCCCGGAAGCTCACAGGATGAGGCTTCCTCGTTATCCTCGATTCGAGGTATTTCTACTAATGGGGTGGTAAGGATCAGGAGGAGACGGCGGAGTTCTCTGTCCGACATCAGACCAGGCACAGCGTCATCTGACGTGTCGATCTTATCTACCAGCCAAGGACAGAGACCCATGACGCCGTCATCGTCGCTTCCCAACCAGCCGCGAGCGGAGACAATGACGCCAGCGGGCCAGACACGGCCGCAAACAAGTAACGGCTCGGGCTCGGTCCGCAGCACATCCCCTGCAAAGAGTGCCTCGCCCACGCGGCTGGCGTCGCCAACCCGCCGATCGCCGACCCGCCCCGTCACACCCAGTCGCAAGGAGAATATCGACCCCAAATTACCGCAGACCGACCGAGCCCCGAGAAAGAAGGCCGACGCAACGGGGTCTCCTCCCCCGGATATCAAGAGGCGGTCGCGGGCAACCAGCATCCCTTCTTCCCGAGTGCCTGGCTTGAAGGAGCGACCGATGCAGATTAATGGCTCAGACGCGAGACGCTTACAGCCGACGCTAGGCTCGCAAAAGACGCCGAAACTGCGTCTGCAAAGTCCACAGAAGGTGAGCGTTTTCTTATCTGGTGTGTGGTATTATTCTAACAATCTGCAGCTCCGGGATCGTTTGAACAGTGAAAAGAAGGCCCAAAATATCGCGTCCTTGGGATTGAAGGATGAGCTCGAGCTGATTGGCGCGGAGCTCAATGCATTGCGACTGAACCCGACGCCGTACAAGGGAGATAGCAAGCTTCACTCGCTTGACGAGCCGTTTGCCCCTTCGAGCGCCAACGCCGCGCTGGCTTCCAGGGTTCGTAGCCTCGAGACGAGATTCGAGACGTTCTCGGAGGAGATGCATGGCCGGACTGCCTCGATCGAGAGGGACCTGGAGTCATCGTTGGTGGTGAGCGAGCGCCGGGCCAAAAAGCTGGACGAGCTCTACCGGGAGGCCAGCGCCGAGAACGAGGCTCTGTATGATCGGTTCAACACGGAGCTGGAGAAGATCGCCAAGGACGTGCGGACGGGGAACGGGGAAGAGTCGCTGAAATCGCAGCTGTCGACCGCGCTGGAGGAGATTGGTCGCCTGAAGAAGGAGAATTTCCGACTGAAGCGTGAGGTGGGTGGGTTGCGTGCGCAGCAGGCGGCCGTTGCCTTGCTGAAGGCGAGTGAGTGAGTTTAAGGACTACACCAGGCCAATCGCCTGATTCTACATTGTCTCATTGTTGCATTAACGGGTCTTTCCTTTGCACCTTTTTTCTTTGTGTGTGTGTCTATAGGCATTCTTTTGTTGGATGGGGCATAGCATCCGTGTTTCCTTTGGCTATGGGGGCAATGGCGGGTCTGATTTTTGGGGAAGATGGGGTTCTTGGGGATCGCATGGTCACGGAGTGTATAGCCTACGGGTCTAACTTTCATTACTTCTGGTTGATCAATCAGAGAACCTTTCTTGTGCATTGTATATGTAGTTCGATTAAGCTCTAGCTCCTGACAGAGGACGGTCGGTAGGCTTCTGATCGAGAAGAGATGCGTCAGATAACGTGATGATACTTCGTGGGCGTAGTTGGTAGGAAATAGTAAGTTACTGGGTTGAGTGGACTTGGCGGTGTCCACATGATATGCAGTGTGTGCAGTATATGCCGTCCAGTAGTAGGTAAGGTGACTACTCCTCCCAACCCATCAGCCTCAGCGTGTTCCGATCCACCATTTTATACCGCCATGCCCAGCTCAAACTCTTCCCACCCAGCCATTCCGGGTCGTGTCGGAAAGGGAGCGAAGAAGGAAGCCACAGATCCAGCGTGGGGAGCGCGAGGGGGATTTCTTCTTCTTCCGTTGCTGCCTCTGCTGCTTCTGCTTCTGCTTCTACCTTCACCCCCCGCTCTGCTTTCCGGCCCTGTTGCTGCTGCTGCTGCTGCTGCCGCCGCCGAACAAGCACTAACACCGGCACCGTGAACCGGGTGCGGCCGGGGCTGACCTGTGCCAGGAGGCGGGTGAGGGCTTTGGGGTCTGTGAGTTCTCTTTTCTGGTTGGTGGCGGCGGGTGCACTATCGCTATCACGCTCGCGATGGCTATGGGTTTGCGTTCCTGTTCGGGGTTCCTTCGCGTGTGGGTGTTGGTGTTGGTTTGGGTTCGCATTGGACTGGCACTGGCGGAGGTGGTTGAGGTCTGATTTGTGGAGGGGGCGGATGCGGAGGTGGATTCTTTGGTGTGGTTTGGGATTGGGGTTGGGGTTGGGATTTGATGGTAGTGGTTGTGATTGCTTGCTGGTGGTGGTGGTGGTGCTGCTGCTGGTCCAGCCCACGCGGAACCAGTATCTGTTATCCCAGAGGTGCCATTGTTCTTGCTCCGGCTCTTTCCGTTCAGTAGAGGTAACAGATCCCTCCGTGCAGTCGAGGTGGATATCCAACTCCGGGAGCCGGTTCTTCATGTACGGTTGGCGGGAGAGGAGCCATGTTTTCTGGGTGCTGTTTAGGTGGTGAGTGGGAGCTGCAGCAGGGCTCTGGAATATACTCTCCTCGCCCTTCTTTTTCGGGGCCAACGACAAAGGCTGGAACAGGACGCCGCCTAGCGTGAAGGACTGCTCCGGCTGCTGCCCCTGAAACACCCTCGCCACAAACCCCTCGAACGCGCGCAGCGGGAAGTGATTGTCCGGGAACGGGGCGACGAGCTCCGTGATGCGGCGGAGAGCGAGGGCCTGGATCTGGGTGTGGTGCACACCGTTCCCACGCATTCCACCTTGATCGACAGAACCACGCTCACCCTCACGCTCACGCTCACCCGAAGAAGCAGCAGCAGCAGCAGCAAACCGCACCCCCACCACCCCCGTCTCCGGCACGAACCCCCCAACCCGACACTCCCCCAACACCCTCTCCGCCGCCTCCTCCGCCCGTCTAATGAGCCGTTGACTCGCCCCCACCAACCCCAGGACCGACTCCCCCCGCAACGCCCGCGGCAATCTCTGTTCAGCTAACAACCTCCGAATCGCATTCCGGGGCGTCAGCGTCGGATCGAAATTCGTCGGGTCGGAGACGAACGGCACCCCGTGGACGGCACAGGTCGCCAGCAGATCGGATTTCGGGAAGCCGAGGAGCGGGCGGATGATCGGGAGGGTCCCTGTGGCCATTGCCGCCATTGCCGCCTGGGGATGCTGCGGCTGCTGCTGCTGCTGCTGGTGGTGGTGGTGGTGGTGGTCGGGGTCAACCCGGAGACGGGGGCGATAGGAAGATTTCACAAACCCCACCCCCCGACTCCCACTCACCCCAAACACCCCATGACACTCGGGGACCCCCGAGCAGCCCGGGATCCCCGCGAGCCCGGCGCCGCGCGCGCCCGTGCACAGCCGCCACAGCGTCGTCTCGACGGCGTCGTCGCGGTGGTGGCCCGTCAGGAGGGCGTCGATGCCCGCGGCGCGGCAGGCGCGGCCCAGGGCCTGGAAGCGGAGGCGGCGGGCGTGGGTTTCGAAGGCCGGCAGGGTGTGGGGAGTCGTGGTCAGGGCGGACCAGTCGAGCGGGAGGATTTGGGTCGTGATGCCGAGGGCGGCGAGCCAGGCGGCGACGGTGGCGGCCTCGTGGGCGCTCTCGGCGCGCGCGCGGTGGTCGATGATGAAGGCTGTTAGTTGTATTCCGGTGCTACCGCCGGTGCTGGTGGATTTCTCCCACTCGCGGCAGAGGTAGGCTAGGGCCATGCTGTCGGCGCCGCCGCTGATGGCGAGGCCTGTAGCCTATTAGTGTGTTGGAAACAAGCTGTACCCTAGTGGTACGGACGAACGCACCCAGTCGCGAGGGGAACCGGGCACGGGGATCCGGCGCTCGCGGGCCCCCGCCCATCCTCGAGTCGCGCCATATTTGCTGGAACGCGTTCACAAACTGCGAGACGGGTACTGCGGTGGGTTTCTTGGGGTGCAGCAGGTCGGAAATGGCCATGGCTGGCCAGGGGACCAAACAGTAAGGTCGATGCGGACGGAGGATGACGGAAGAAGAGCGGAAGGGCGAAATTGATACGGTCTGATAAGATTGCCGCTCTTGGCCCGCTTATCGCCGGCACCACCGAACTATACACAGGTTTCACTACGCGGCCTTCCTTGATAATTCAACAAATCAATTCGCTGCGCAGATCGCACATATCTTGGTATCGCAAATCCACAGGTGTATGTACCGGCCCATCATCAGACAAGCCCATCAACTATAAACAAGACATCCTCCCCCTAAGCATTGCTGACCGAGACCGCCGAGCCAGAAGCCGCGTGCGACCGAATGCTGGCCGGCGGCGCACTGCCCGCCTCACCTAACGCCAACGCCGTCCCAAACCCAGTCTCCTTCTCCTCCTCCGGCGCCGGCATGCGGATCTCCTTCTTCCCGTTGGCCTTGTAGTACAAAACCATGTCGCCCGAGGATCGCCAGATGTGCGCCCGGATCGTCGCCAGCGTCATGTTCGGGGGGATGGGCTGGGGCACGTTAGTAACGCCGAGGCAATCACCCAGCAGCAAAGAAAAAACGTACCATCTTCTGGCAATACAGCTCCAGATACTCCTCGGCTTTCATGGGGTTTGCGTCTGGCTCGTGGGGGTGGGGAGGATCGATTCGCTCCGCCACGTAGGCCAGGATCTTCTTGGCGCGCAACATGCGATTCGCGTTGAGGCGGTTGTTGTTGGCATTGGGACTCCCGGGCGGTCTGCCTTGTTAGCCTCGCTCGAACACGATCGGGACAGATACTTACTCGGGTTTGGCGACAGGGGGCAACAGATCATCGTAGGGCTTCAGTGTGAAAGCAATCTTGACCGGTTCTTTCACGGGCACTTGGTTCTGCAGGTTGTTAGTTGTAGACAGACCAAGACCATCTCATTGCGTACGTACCTTCAGAAGCAGCTCGGCAAGCCACAAGGGTATCGACTTCTCCAGCTTGTCGATTTCCTCGCTGATCCGACCAACCGTTCCTCGGTACAGATCAGACGCCACAGCAGTATCACCCGACTCTTCTTGGATGAAAACCACGGTGCGCGGGGGAATGTCCAGCACCGGCGTCTCATTGTCTGGGCTCGGAGTGAACGCCGACGTCAACTCCCGGCCAGGGTTGGCAGACATGAACTCCTCATACTCGTGCCGCGTCCGCTCAATGAACCCTCCCAGGTTGGTCTCAAACACCTTCTCTTCCTTGATCGACGACTTGTCCGACTCCTCCACCTTCTCTTCGGGGACCTGCGGCTTGACTTCCGATGAGGTCCGCCCCAGCTTCTTGGGGAAATCCATGCGGAACTTCTTCCCGAACAACGACGCACCGCGCTTCCGCTCCTCCTTGTCGGGCTCGACCGGAGACTGGGGCAGAGCCGTCGGGGTCGGCTCGCCTGGGGTAGTCGGCACCTTATCCGTGTCGAGCGAGCCCATGCCCTGGTTCCGTGACGAGGAAAAGTAGTCGCTGGAGCGGTCCGAGAAAGAGGCCCGGGTCATATCGGCATTCTGCTGCGACTGCGACATGAGATATTCCGACGTCGAATCTCCCGGAGAGGTGCCCAGATGACTCGCATTGTTGATGTAGCTGGAAGTCCACATGGGCGATCCCATAGTCGCCGGGCTGCCGGCATACCCGATGCCGAACCCGCCGGGTGTCGTAGGGCTCCCGATTGAATCGTAACCAGACCTAAAAGTGGCTGTGAAGGGGTCTAGAGGCGACTGCAAACCCAACGCCCGCCGCGAAGGATCTGCCGATGGGATATCGACCGGGGCTGACGCGCCAGTGCTGGTCAAGCGAGCCAGTTCTTCCGCCTTGGCTACCATCGCAGCACGGAACTGGGCGTCCCGCTGAACGTGCTCTTGCACCAGAGGCGCAAAAAGCCAACGCAGAATCCATTTTCCAAGATTAACTATCATTGTCAGTAGCTGGAATCCTGCGACAGGAAAATAACATACTCCTTTGGTCCTCCCGAAATTGCGACGGGTCCGCCAGATCCGACTCGTCGGCATATACTTCAGCATCAAAACACCGGCCAGGCTCCAGGATCACCGACAGACGTCCGGTGCGAATGTCGATAGTACACCAGTGAGCGATGCTCTCGGTTGTGTTGATCTCGGATGCGACGTCGTCCATGTGTCTCTTGCCGAAGGATTGAATTGGTTTACACTGGTGGTGTGTTAGAGCGGTCACCTCACTCAAAGCACTGGCAATCATACCTTGAGCAAATCCCACAGAACAACCTCCCCAGCAGAGTCTTGAGTCAGTGTCCGTTTGCGGTCGTTCAGCATGGAATATTTGATCAGCCCATGTTGACCTTCGATGGTTTCTTCGGGTAATGCCTGTATAGGCAGCGTCAACCCCAACTCATCGTCCAGGTCAGACCCAGACAAGAGCCGAGGTGAAGTCGGCCCCGAGCGCGGAGTCTCATCGTCTACGGGGCGCGCATTAGGGAAGGTGGAGGTAGGCGACAGCAACAGCACCGATTCATAGGGGATCTTCTTGGGCCGGCCGTCTGACGGCGCAGACGTGGTTGCCTGACTCTGCACATTCCGGTCTCGCGCGGGAGGCTCAATCTCAGCCGTGGTGTCCACATCCCGCCAGCGATGAATACTCGACTTCGGGGTTGCCGTCCAGATGTAATCGCCTGCGGCTACAACGTTGATGACGCCCTCGTGCTCCTGCAGAGCCGCCACGCACGTGCCCTGCTCAATGTCCGGAGATGTCCGGGTGTCTGTTTTGGCCACGAGACCGGACCGGTCACTAGAGTAGAACACAGACAGTTGCGGGTGGTTGGAATACAGCGACCAGACGCTGTCATTATGCATGGTCAAGGTATGCATGCATCTTCCCGCGGTAAGGGACCAGATTTTGATGGTCTGGTCGGACGAGGCGGTCATGATGGTGTCACCATCGCGATTGATCAAGATATCACGGATGTTATCCGTATGGCCGACAAACTTCGTGATAAGCTTTCCGGATTTCGGATCCCACACGCGAACCACGTTCTCTGGACCACCGCTCGCCAGGACGGAGGAAACCGCGCCCAAAGCGTAGACCGAACCCTTGGCCGTGCGATCATCCCCGGATGCATCGATGCCCAGCACCTCGCCGCCACCGTTCAGATCCCACAGGTAGAGCTTGTGGTCCAGGCCGCCCGACGCGACCCACGACGAGTGGTTTCCGGGGGTGGCCAGGGCCTTGACATAGTCTGCGTGTTTGCCGATGGGAGCCGGCACCTCGGTGGATTCGGAGTGAGGGCGCCAGAGTCGGACGGTGGTGTCGGACGAGGCTGAGACTAGCGCGGAGTTATTCTTGGTCAGCACGATGTCGTTGATCCAGTGGCTGTGCGCCTGGACCTGGTTGCGAAAGGTGGTTTTGCCGGGCTTGGAGGAGTCGGTGAGTGAGAAGTTGAGATCCCACGAGCAGACGACGCCGTCGCGACCTGCGGAGTAACTGGTGCGACCGGTGGTATTAGTGTTGTAGCGGTGTCAGAGGATTGCGCCGGGCGCAAGCGGTACTTCTCGGAGACCGAGCGATCGTGCTTACAGGATGGATTCGTCGGGGTCGACTGCCAGGCCATTGACGCCTAAGCGATGGCCACCGGGGGCGTCAGGCAGAGGGAGCACTATAGAGCGGGGAATGGTTAGTTGGGATCTGCATTCCCCAGGCATGCACAGGGTGTCCGATAAGCGCGGGGTGAGACAATCAGAACCGACGGTGACAGGGGGGGAGAAGGGGAGGCAACGGTCATTGAGTAGCCAGGGAAGAGAGGAGGAGACTGACCATATGTGACCCTCTGGTGGCTGAGTTTCCTCGCCATGCAGCAGGGTGGAGGCGGAGAAGAGCAGGATAACGAGGAAATGCGGAGGTCGATGCAGGATGCGGAGAGACGACGAGACGATCACTCGAGGGTCAGGGTGGGGGGACGCATGAGCGGGGAAGGTATGGAACACGAGGCAGTATATTGATCTGTAGGTGAAGGAGAGAAGCGACAGATGCTATTGAAGAGAAAGAAAGGTAGGAGGAGTTGGAGAAGTTTGAGGGGGGGAGATGAGATGGAGAAGAAACGGAGACGGAGAAGGTGGAATGATGGGATGACGAGAGGAAATCCAACCGCCGGCGGGTGGTCGGCAACTGGTGGGACTGCCAGCTGCCCCAGAGAGAGTACAGTACATACAGTGCAGTACTTGAAGTATTGAGCAGTCAGTGTCACTACCCATACCCTCAATGAAACAATCCCGAGCTCAAGATTCCAATCATTCATGCCCCTGACAATAGCCAATTGCAAGCACTACTCACATCAGGAGCTTGCAATAAGTTCCAATGTGCACTGTCTGTCCCTGAACAACAACCTCGTGCAGCCTGCAGCCCCACAACAACACTGATCTCATCCTGATGCATCATACCATGTTCTGATATTCCCCTACTACAGCACTGAACATACTCGAGTCCATAGTACATGCATATAAGATCCACTATAAGTATAAGATATCCAATTTCTCAAAACAATAACATCACTTTACGAAGGATAACCACATCTCCTACCATACCTCTTACTCGGAGTATACTTCCCACAACCACAACCACAACCACAACAACCACACTCCCCCTTCTCCCCCATCTGTATAAACACATGTGTGCCTTCCTTCCCAGTGGACGTCTTCCACCGCAACAAGGGCCGGACCATCAATACGCTGCAGCGGGGGAAGGGAGCGGTATGTTTTCCTGCGGGAGGATGGCCAAAACACTGAGGATGAGGCGGATGGGGGAAGTATGTGGGTTGAATGTTGAGGTAAGGTCGAACTGACACTACCCCAGACAGCTGTGTCTGGGTTCTGAATGGAGGACCACGAGTTCCTCTCGCGGACGACGATGGAGGAGATGCTCACGGAGGCGCAGACGCAGGAACTACAGTGGATGTTGAGGGAGAATCATCCCGAGTCACCGGCATGCTAACTACATACCTGCATCTGTCATACTGTAGTATCGTATAAATAATATACAT